TACCTTCTTGTTCAATTTTCACCTTGATCTCAATCAACATGACAAGTAACGATAAAATTGACGCTTCAAAGTTAACTACAATTATTGAGAGAATTCCGGATGAACCAATTTCAATCGAACCTAAAAAAGTGACCTTTGAAAATACAAGTGAAGCAAGTTGGCCGAATGACAATTCGCCTTCTTATGCAAATGTATTTGGTGAATCATCATCTCAAGCTCTTTGGGCTAAACTGAAGTTAAAAGATCCATTACCAGTTCAAACTGCTGAAGCTCGTCGCTCAATTGAGTTGGAATCAATAAGAGGCCTTAAGGATAATTCAATTTATCCTCCACCTTCAAGTGACCAAGAAAAGTACAACGATTATTTTCCAGCTCGAAAGCCACCAAATGATTCCGATTATCCTGAATATCTACAAATAGAATTTTTCAATCAAGCGAAAATCGAGATAAAAGTGGAAATTGAAGAAGCGAAAAAACTTTACGATATTTATGTTGAATTCGTGAAAGAAAAGTTAAGGCTCAATGCTTTGGATATTGAATTAGATCAAATCAATTTCGATTCCGTTCCAAAAGGTCTCATAAAAGCTCGTGTTATTTACCCCAATCTACGAGAAATCTCATCAATTGTGACATGTAACTTTTGTGAACAAATTTCAATCTCACCTCGATCATGTTCTAAATGTACAAAAATCTATTGTGCTAAGTGTACACTCTGGTTACGAGAAATTACTTCTCAAATTGGTTTGGAAAAACCGACAACATTGGACTCGTTTCTCTGTATTAATTCAAACTGTTTGATATCAACTTGTTCTGATGGTTATTGCAAATCAATTATACCAGAAAGAAACGAAATTTTGAATTTCTACAGACAATCTGAATTTTTATGTAATCGAAAATTCTGTAAAGAGAAATGGAAAGTTAACAATTACAGTTTCCACATCGATCGCTGTCGAAAAGGTCCAATCGATTTTACCTTTGACAAAGATTTAACTTTACCATTTCGAGTTGGTCCTGTTAGAAAACAGATATCAGATAAACCAAGAGATCTCGCATCAATGTTACCCTCTCATCTAAAAGTTCAAAAACCAACATTAACTCATCAAGAAGTTTGGAAAGAAAAAGCTTTAACTTATGCTTTTCTAATTAATGCTCGTGAAAATAATCCCGATGATCCTCATTTAGATCCAGTTTCTATTCGTATTCAAACGAATACAAGATTTAATCATTGGAATAATCGAGCAATGGCTAAAGATCCTACGGAACCAACAGATGAATCTGAACAATTTCTACTCAATATTGGTTTCCCTTCATGCGCTTTAAAGCCCAGAGACCCAGCACCTCAACGGTGGCCTACAACTCGCTGTTCATCTGTACCAAGTTATCTACTGAAAGAATCAATTGATTGGTTAAAATGGTCCAAAGGAATCATAGACGATAATGAATCAGTTATATCTGATAGTTCAAGTTATGTGTTGTTTTCTAATGAAATCGATGATCCGCATTCACCATTCATACGAATTAATCCATTTGACAGATTATCACCAAGTGAAACTGAAGAAGTTCAAGAATGGTTGAAATCGCATTTCCCATCATGTGTTAACCTTATGCTATTTACAAAGTTCCAACACCATCATCAAACCCAAAAACAATTTCTTCTGTTGCTATTAGAAGACAAAAATTAAATAATTCATTCGCTAATCGACCTACTGGAATTATACCACCGATGCTACAAGAACAATTGGATTTTATCCAAAACATTTCAAAAGATCTGACAGATAAAAATCTGATATTTGGAATCGCAAGTTTCAATGTTCGTATCAAGGAAGGTCCAAAGATAAGACCAAGGCCTTGTTGGATCGTATTAGTCGATGGTAACATGGAAATTATTTACGAGACATTCGTAAAATATCATGAAGTTGATTCTCTTGATCATCGTTTCCATGGTCTCACAATGAATGACCTAAAATACGCTCGTAATCTTGGAACAGTAAGAGATCAAGTACTCAAGTATCTTGTCTGTGCAACTAAAATCATTGGTCATGGATTGATTAATCAATTTCTCAGTCTCGGATTAACAACTTATGAAGTTAATCAACTTTTGTTCAAGTTTCGAGAAGTAACTAATTACTATTCACCTTATAATGAACATCCAATGTCAATGCATTTCATTGCATTCCTATGGTTTACTGGTTACACTTTACCTGCAGATCCTCACTCACCTGTAGTCGAAGCAATTACTGCTATTCGATTGTATATGTTACAATGGAGAGAAATTGAATATATGGCTACTGATGTTCTGGACGGAATGCATCATAAAAATGTCGTATTGACTTGTGGAAATTCAATTACAAGTGCTTTGTTATTTGACTTCGATAAAGGAGTAAAAGAAGGACGATTATCTTGGCCGACCGAATGGATGAGGAAATTGAAATTTCCAGAATTCAACGATAATTGTGTTAAACCTTCGGAAGAAATACTCAAGATGAAAGAAACTAACATTGCTGAAGAATCAAATGATTTAAATCAACCCTCAACTAGTAACGGAACTAAAGTTTCAAGAATGAAACGATTACTTCCTTATCTTCAAGCCAAAGCTATTCAGAGATCTGAATCTCATGAAATTGACAATTGAAAAACGGTGTCTTCATCATGGTCTGGGGGTTTGAAAGGATAAATTTACCCTCTTCCAATTACAATTTAAAAGATTCAAATCTCTTCATTTTTCTTTACTTTCTTTTTTCTATTACGATCTCAATGAGATAATGATCCCTCAAGTTGTCTCTCTTTCTTTTCTTTCTATTCATTTTTCTCTTTCTTTTTTGTTATTGTCTAACTTGACCATTTCCGACTTAATGTCTTTTCCTTTAAAATTAGTTTCCTTCCGTTTCTTAAGGTATAAATAGAGTAACAATTTACCTTTAATTATCATTAGTTTTGATTAATATCATCGTCATCATCAATTGATTAACCAAATTGAGTTAAATGTTTAACAAGAAGTGATTGTGAATTAATCTAAGTGATCAAGTAAAAATGTGTTTTCTATTTTTCTAATGTTTAAGATTAATAAAGTGATTAAATTCAAGTTTAAGTTAATGATATTTAAGGTACAACGACAAAAGTACAACGTTTAAAGTGAAAATTACCAAAATTCTAGATTCATTGAGTTGTAATATCAAAATGTTAATAAGTGTTGATCCACAAAAAGAACCCAAATCTTGGGATTTGAAAGGCCTAAGGTGTGCGTCTAACTATCAATCTGATGTAAATCAGTTCTCGGTAACAAAACGACTCATTCAAACCTTTCACAATCAATTGTCTCTGGGTTAATTGGATTGTACAATGTCCCAATTCAAAGTAATTATCCTTGACAATCCTCAAGTTAAATTGCTGCCAAAAAATTAGCAAAAAAAAACTATTGAATGAAAATCCTATGGATATATTTCAGAACCTTTACCATTGTTACCTGAGTTTTTACCTGAGTCTTTTTCAAAGTTAGCCAACCATTTTAATGATCTTTAAGTAACTTAATTCACCTTGTTGAGCTTGTCAACTTTATACCTGAATTATTAACTTGATAAATGGTTTGAGTCCACAGCCTAAAACCCATAATAATACATAACATCATTATCGTCGATGATTATATTTAGAGAGTCTACAATTTATAAATTGTTGTAATTTATGTGGTTACAAGTGAATACCTTTTACAATGATAACTACGGATGATGATGAAGGATGAGGATGATTCTTATTAGTGCAGTACAATTTTTACTATATGAAGATTGGGAAAATGATAATGTTGAGATTCAGGGTGGGGTATGAGGAGGAAGAGAATGAATAAGTTAATCATGATGATGATTTACCTTAATTGTTACAATAATAATAACACCAATCTTCAAATTACCTTTAATTTTTTTACCAATTTCTTCAAGGTAACAAGTTCATCTTTTAATATCATAGGCAAGGTTTACTTTTTCTTGCTTAATGATTATAAGGTTTGTTACAGTAGGTTGATTGTAAGAGCAACAATTTAAATCAGATTAACTAAATAAGGTAAATTGTGGTCATAATTGTGATGATATAATTTACAGAAATTGGTTTCTCTTTAAATCATTATTTATATCAATTTAAATCACTTAACCTTGTCTGATCACCTACTTAATAGTTTCAATGTAAAATTTAAATAGTTTTGAATGAGAAATTTTTTCTGCTTCTTAGCAATCAAATTTAATCATGTTGATTAATCTGAATGTTATTTTTTTTCATTCAACTGATTGTTGGTGTTGAGTTAAATTGTTGCTATTTCCTAAATTAGTTGCCTCAGCAAGGACGTAATCTAATTAATTAATTGTTGTTGTTGTTGTTGTTGTTGTTTAATCACAATCAACAAGAAACAAAAAGTTTTAACTTGAATTTTTTTTTACTTTTTCCTTTTTAATAACAATTAAATTTAATTGTTTCCATGTCTTCTTATGGTTACAATTATGATTAGGTCTTTAATTTTTTTGTATTATTATTAGTTAACTTTAATTAGGATTCTTATCATGTATTCAAAAATGATGTAACAATTAAGGTTTTGATTGTAGTTCATTGTGAATTTTTTTACATTAAATTAGCTAAAACATGATTACAATCAATGATTTAATGATAACAATTAAAGTTATCATTATGAAATTAAATGTATCTTATTGTTTATCTGTTAAATTAAATCACGAAGCTACAAAAAAATTTAACTTTTCATGTTGATTGTAATTAACCAATTGTTGTATTTGATTTGATTGTTTTACCGTTAATGAAACAATATGAAACTTGATTGTGATTTTCAAAAAAAGTTAACAATTAACTAGACCTTAGTTAACAATATCACGGGTTAACCAACTTAATTGAACATTAAGTTTTTGAAATTGTCAAAATTTCACCAAATGATTAAGATGATTTAATCGGTTGATTAACTGGCAGCTATTATTATTGAATTTAAACAAAACAATCAGGAACAATTAAAATTGATTGTTTAAGTTTGTTTATTATTAAATATTAAATATTTTGTTTTATTACATTAATTGACTAATTGTTTTCATAATAAATAGATTGATTGATTTGTGTTATTATTAGTTAGTTAATTGTTGATTTCTGATTAACCATGAATTTGTCTATGATTATTTTTAACCACAAAAAGAGTCTCATTTAAATCAGTTGGTTTAAATATCGGACTAATTGTGGTTGTTGTGGTTCTGTGTGAAGGAGGGGAACCGGAAACAGGATGTACCATGTTGGGTTTACCATGAGGATGAGGTGATCGACCCAATTCAAATTCCTCATCTGAATTTGAGGTGTGAGATGAAGGTGAACCCCAACTAGCAGCATCATCATCATTGACACTCATTGATTCACCATTAACAGCACCAGAGTCGTGATCTGTTAGCGATGAAGATTCTGATGGTTCTTGATCAACTTGTGGTTGTTGTGGTTGTACCTGTTGTTGTTGTTGTTGTTGTTGGGTTATTGATGACCAGGAAGGGGTTTTTGTTGGTTGAAATGTTGGATATGGTTTATAAGATGGTTTTGTTTTTAAAGGTTGATTAAATTTCACATCGTTATTAACTTTACTTGGTGTTGTTTCTTGGTGTTGTTGTGGTTGTGGTTGTTGGGATTGTGGCCTCTTTTTGATACTTGAATAGGGTTTTTTGAATGAACTTGAATCAGCTGATGATGTTTTGATTTCATCAAAACTTGATTGTTGTGTTTGACTAGGTGATGATGATGAACACAAAGATGATGCTGTAGATCCTGACTTACCTGGATAACATGTTGGCTTAGATTGAGGTTGATGATGATTTTTTGTTGATTGACTTGATAATAAAGGTCTTAATGATGTGATTGGTAACATTGTTGTTGTTGTTGTGGTTGTGGTGGTGGTGGAGGTTGTTGAATGTGGTGGAGTTGATGGTGAATCAGCTGGTTTTGTGCGATTATTTTTCAAATGAATCAAATAGTTTTTCTTAATTGCTGTCTCGTATTCCCTTGGATCATCAAAACCAGGAATATAACCCGAACCAGTACCAGTACAAGAACGAACTGGTTGACCATTTTTACTTAGATCACAAGTTCGACCAAGATCTTGACAATCAGATTCATGATCACATCGAGCTAGAGAAAAATAAGATTAAACAATTAAATCGATTGATCAACTATTAAAATAATTAATCACTTACGTCGACAATAGAAACAGCCCAAGTAATTGGTTCCTTTGAAAGCGGGAATGAAATTACAATCCCGAGATTCTCGAGATCGACAATGTCCTTCGTCCACATGAAGAGACTCACAGACTCTTAAAACGTTACCGAAAAAGTGTCCAACCTCATTATCTTCATTAACACCTTAGAATTTTGAAAATAATTAACAATCAAATAAACTGTCACAGTGAATGATGATTAATCTTACCTGCGGCTTGAAGAGCATCTTTCTCATCAAAACAACAGAGACACGTTTGAACACCTTGAGCGGTGAACGATGCCCACGAATGGCCTCGTCGAGAACACTCATTGAGAGAGGTTTCCTGGCATCCACGTTGATGACAACTTCGATCTGGATCGAAAGCACGACTTTCAATTGTAACAATACAATTAAATATGACAACAATGATAATCAATGGATAACAATTAACTGGGAACATGATGACATATAATATTTGTTTGTTTCTTTCTCAACTTCGATGTTTGTTTGTTGGTGACTGTTTCAATGTTTCGAGTCTCATTGATGTGACAATTAATTGTTACAACATTTATAATGAAATAATTTACGAGGGACACGGAAATGATCATTGATTTGATTGTGTTGACTGTTTAATTGTGATGATACCCGACGACGAGAAATTTGCTGAGCCACCGTTCTAGTTGTATGAGAAATGAAGTAAAAAAACCTTTCCAATTGATTCACTTTGATTGTTGAGACCAATTAATAATTAAAATGAGAATCGGGAAAGCCCAATGTTGAACCAAATTAACTTAATTTGATTAACTTAAACTATTATTTTGAATATAAGTTATTATTACATTGATTTGACTCTATTTCTGTTATCGGAAGTACATTTTAATTCATTATCCAGGTTAGTTAATCAATTGTCATTTTCTTCAACTTAATTGTCGCCATTAAATTGAACAATTTAAATTTAAGTTTACTTTCAATTTGAATTTAATAAAAAAAACAATCTAATGAGACAGCTGATTAACTAACTCGATTACTTTGATTAATTAGTTAATTAATTGGTTGATGAAATGTTTAATAACTTTCTCAATTTGTTTACATATCCTTAATTGTTGCAGTTAATTAGGATTAATTTATTATTTCAATGTTTTCATTAGTTAACAAAAAACAATCTCAAAAATAAGATTTAAAATTAATCCTCTTTTTAAATTGTTTGCACTTTTTTAATTTCCAATCAACTTGAATTTAAATTAAACTTCCGGGAACATTTGTTATTTACACTAAATTGAATAACAATTAATTAATCATTACAATTTATATAAACCAATAGATTTCATTTTGTATAATAATAATGTAATTGAATTGCAATTTGATTAGATTTTAATACTTTACACAATCTTGTTAAATCCTTGATTCAGTTGTAAATCTAATCAGTTGATTTGTTTGTTTCCATTTTATTTACTATAAATTATTTTCCATCAAATCAACAATTTAACAACAATTTACATGTTCAACTACAATCACGTAAGGTATTAACTAAGTTAATCATCTTGTTAAACAACAACAAGATAATCGGCCAAGTAAACAATTAAATCAATATTTGCTATTCAGTTTTTAAGGATTGGTCACTTATCGGTCAATTGTCACCATGAAGTTCAATCATTACGATTTTGGGTTAACTTTGATCAGTTAACTTTTTCAACAATCAACTAATTGTTTCTTAATTGTTTTTCTAATTACAGACGAGCCTTGATATTCACATTTCCATACAATGTTATCCATCTATTTCGTAATTTATTGTTGGCAATTAGTTTATCGATCTGCACGGGAATCATTTATTGGCACGTTCGCATTGGACGTGAACAAGAACATCTCTGGGACCGTATTGGACTTTATCACGTTATTTTGGCGATAATGCCGATTCCCTTGTTCCTTGTTGAGATTAACGATGGTAAGTTAATCAATTTGCTAAATCAAGACGCGAATCAGAGTTAATCCTCAACGAAAGTGGATTAATTTTGATTCACTTGTGTTGACAATCATCTCAAATTGAATCATCATTTTCTGTATTCCTATTGTATTATCTAAGATTCATCAGTGATAGCAAGTTAATTGTTGACAGTTAATCAATGATATACTTTCAAATTAATCATGTAAAGCTGAAAATTTTGCTCATTGCTGTTTATCCTTTTCTTGATTGTATTAAGATCAACTGATTTGATTGATTGATTGACAATCGGTTTTAAATTGTTCATCTAATATATAATTTTGCAACCGGTTTGATTGTAAGACCAGTGATGAGATTTACTGGTTGATTAAGTGGTTAATCATTTTGAGATACACCTTGATACTTATTACCTTTTTGATATTGAACATTTTAATTTAAGACTGAAAAAGTAATAGGAATCAAATTTTTGAGAAAAAAATTCTTTTTCTTCCTCTCTCTCTCATCATTTGCTTCCGCTTCCTGTTTCCAATCAATATTATCATGATTATCTGTTTAATTTTTCAGCTCACAAGGAAAAAAAGTTTGCCCTTAACGAGATTAAGATGCAATTGTACTCGAAACCCTTGTACGTGTTTTCCAAGATACTTTACACGTTACCGAAATCGACATTGATTTTCATGGGCTATGCTATTCCGGTTTCTTCCATGGCTGGACTTCAGAATAATCTACTTATCTATTTGGTTCTGATTCTTGGTTATCTTCACATGATCCGTATGATTGCTCTTTCAATGGCCTGGACATTTGACCGCCGTTCAACGGCTTCATTAGCTTTCGGAATTATATTTTCAATTTTTACTCTCGCCGCGGGAACAACTTTCCACTATAAGGATTTATCGATAATTACAAAATGGTTACACTCAATTTCACCGATTAGATATACTCATGAGGTGCTAATTGGTTGGGAATTTAACAATAACTATACAACAACAGGTAAATCAAATACTCACACTGATTCATTATCATTTAGCTTTAAGATGATTAATGTAACTATTTTTGCTCTTGTTTAAACTCAAATATTGTTTTCTGTTATTATACTGAATTAATGTATCATCAGGTTGGTGAAAAAGGTAAATGTCATCTCTTGAATCGTGAGAATTAACCTTTGGAACTTTAAATGCTATTCTGATGGGATAACATTTCAATTCTTCATGATAAATATAATCTTAATTTCTTTTCTCCATCATTTATTGATGAAACTTGAATTTAGTTTGTTTGTTGTTGGAAAAACAGTATTGTAGTTGAATCTCTTTATCAAGTTGACCATTATTCTGAACTTTATGAATTCAATTTCATTTCCTCGTTCATCATGATGATTGAGAAGATGAACAAGAGAAAAGTTCATCTCTTTCCAATTTCTTTCTCTCTCTTCTTATATTCTTGTAATCATTTCCTTTTAGTTTATCCTGAAATCTTTTTTTTTTTCATACAGAATTGGATTGAATAATGGTGAGATTAGTGAGAAATTAGTTAATTTAAACTATTACATAGTGATAATCATGAGTAAAATGATAATAATGGCGATGATGATGATGATGATGATGTGTTAACATTGTTATTTGATGAGGGAAACTTCAGGTAACTTGTTTACAAGAAAAACGAAAGAAAATAGTTAACAATTGAAATGGAAGAGTGAAAATTGTAACAATCTGATAATAGTGATTAACTTGACGTAATTATATCAATATCTTCATTGATTGTTACATCTTCTCATAATCATCTAAAACCTAAATAATAATAATCTGTTGATTGATTTAAACCATTTGCCTGGTTTATAATTAGTTATCATAATGATGATGATGCTTATTGATTGTAACTAAATTGTTTCCTTTGTTTTGATTCCCATTCAGGTCCATCTTCAATTTCATCATTTGCTTATCAGTGTACACATAATCCAATCATTCAACAAGAAAACGCCATTCTAATTAAAGCTGATTGCGGTTTCCAACAACGAGAACATATATTACGTTGGTTTAATTATAAATCACCAGGATCCGATTTAATTAAATTAATTTCTCAGCCATTTATCGCTTATTCAATTGTCTTTGCCATTTTCCTGATCATTGGATCTTTGTCATTCTGTTTGATTGCCAATAAGAAAAAGAAAACTAATATTAGCTCATTAACAAACAATTAAGAGAATTAATTTTTATAATAATTCTCATTACAATTTAATTTTCTTACCTTTTTCTCTTAATTTCTTGTTCCTTTTGTTTTAATCAGTCATTTTCACCTAATTTCACCCAATAGATTCCAATGAATGTACAATAATCCCTTTCGATTTCTGATCTAATCCAAATTTAGATTTAATTTTCCTCTTTAATCCTTTAATCCAAAGTGATCAATTTCTTTAAGGTCCTTTGGCTTTTTCTTTCACTTTGTACAATTTTCATTTTCTCTTAATTAACTGCACCACTAATTCACAATTAATTCAAAGTTTTCTTCTCCTTTTCTCCAAAATTGTATTGAACCAAATTCAACACAATAATAATTATTAATAAATTCAACGTTTTAATTATGACGAAATTGATTGTTAAATTTATTACACATACATACAAATATAAACACTTTTATAATCTGTAATCAAGATCAAGAGATTTGATTCATCATTAATACCAACCTATTGTGATTACCTACGAATATAAGATTAAACCAACTACCTGGATGTTCAATAGGTGTTTTAAATTGTCTGTGGTGTTAATTTTTCCTCGTTTGATTTAATTGTTGTTCACATTATGGAGCCTTTTCAGTACCAAGAGGAATTGGATGAACCAAACAAAAGGATTGCCATTCGTCGTGCAGTGACTGTATTGGTGTTTACGTTGATAATAATCTTGGTGTTTCTATTGATTCTGTTAATCCTTTGAGCATTGAACGTTCAATGTTGGTCATTAATATTAACAGTAATGTGAGAGATGTTGAATCACCACGATACGAGAAGATTTGACCAAAGAAAAATCGAGTTGAGGAAGATGATTAAAAGAGTTGAATTCGGTCAAATGATTGATGGAACGAGTCCAGAATTCAATCGAGGAAATGTTTTGATCGATTACGAGGCCAATTTAGATACGTGTAAAACGATTTTAAGAAGATGTGATTTGATTTGTAATCGTGTTGATAATTGTATAAAAGTAAAGAGATGAAACAATTAAACAGCAGTTCCACGTTCCAAATTTTGTTTGATTTCGGTTGTATATTGACCATAAAATCTTTCCAATTTCTTGTTAAATCTCATGTTTCTTTCATTGATGAAATCGATATCAGCATCATCATCGTACCTTCGGCGACGACTAAACTTGCCTCTCTTTTCTAATTGTTTGTCCAAATCTTCAACCATTCTATCAATTCCTTCTTTAGTGTCTTTAAAGGTTGGATCAAACATATCTTCCAGTTTAGGATAAAAGGCTTTATCACCCATGGTCTTTTTAACATCTTCGTAATCCTCAAGATCAGGTTTGATATTTTTCACCAATCGTTGATATTGACGAGCAGTTGCAGCTTCAAATCCAGAGAAACCTGGGTCAACATTTCGTTTGGCTTGTTTCCTTTTTTCAGACTTTTCCGCTTCATCAGCTTGAATATTCAACATTTTAACTCTATCATAATCTAATCCTTTCTTTTTAGCTTCTTCTCGTTCAGCCTCTTCATTAATCTTGTAATCGACAAACTCTTGTTTCCTAGCCCAGTTTTTAGGTAACTGAGACTTTTTATATTCCTCGACGACTTCCTGGTGATTCTCTCGAATAGCCTCAGCCTTGAAAAAACAAAAAAAGAGAAAACAAAAACCAAAAATTAACAAAAATCAACAGAGATAATCAAGATAACAAAGTCAAAAAGAGAAAAAAAAATTTTCTATTCCATTCAAAACTTACCCTTTTCTTACCAAGTTCCTTCAATTTCTCAAGCCTGGCGCGTTTTTTATCACCCGCACAAGACGATGAAGACGATGGTCCAGCAACAAGACTCATAGTATAAACACAATTAATTAAATTAATTAATTCAGAAGATAAAGCAAATGAAAAACAAAAGATAAAATCTTTTGACTTGAACAAACATAAACAACTATGAGTCATTCGAGTCATGGTAACCATGGAAACGGCGATCAACCAATAGGAGCGCTTACATTTGTTAACCGTTTAAAATATTCAAAAAGAGTAAATTTTTTGAGTGAAAAAATTTCTTCATCTTGATGATCTTAATTAGATTTTGTTCTTTTTTGTTTAATTAGATTTTTTTTCTTCATCGCAATTTGTTACAGGTTAATTATCTAGAATCTTAAGTTGATGATGATTAAATCGCGAAAACAAGTTAAACTCAAACAAACGTCTAATGCTGACACTTTGTTCAAATTACCAGTTCCTATTCCAGAGCCACCAAGGGTAAGTAGGCAACACAGATTCTCACTTATCCTTTCCTGGGTTTAATTTTTGTCTCTTTTTGAATTTAATTAATTCATTGTTTCAATTCATTTTCAGGTAAATAATTTATCTTATTTTAAATTGATTGTTCTGTTAATTTGTTCAAGATATTGTCAAGTTTATTTGTTTCTTTTGTTGAACAGTTTTACCTGACAGATGAACACATGACTTTTTCCATTGCTATGGAGATGATTTCTTTGTTTTCACTAATTGTTTTCATCCTTTATAATTTAGTTTTTCTGCTAATTTACTCTAATTTGGGAATTAGATTTTAGAGATTTATGAGAATGTAATGGTAGTTTTGTACATCTCTTTTGATAATCTGGTTTCTTTTTAATTTGATTAGTACTTTTTGGGAAAAAAAAGTGTTGATTTTTCTTTTCTCTTTCTCTACTTTTTTTCTCCATCTCTATTATCCCGCCAAAGATGGTGAATGTTAAACCCTCAGTACCTGATCTCAGCATTAACTTTGAAGACGAGAAAGAAGAAGCTGCTCATTTAGGACTAAATTTCGATTATCGTCAACACCGACCAGAGGTGGAAATGATTGGTAACAAATCACCTGATTATAAAGAAATTGAAATTCTTAATGAAATAGCCCGGATAAACCAGAGATTACAACTCAATGGATTGAAAGATAATCATGTAACAAAGGAAACCTCACCAAGAATACCTACCAGCAGGAATGGAAAGGAAACAAGCCCGAAAGAAAAAAGTGCCAGTCGATTTAGTGTTAGTCCAAGTTCATCTGGAAAATCTTCCAGAGACTTGGTGTATGATTTTGCATCTTTGAATGCAGCCATGAAAAAGCAAGATGAAAAAATAGATAAACTTGCTGATAAAGTTCAACTACTTTTAAGTTTAACTTTTAAAAAAAGAGAACCAGAGAAAAGATCTATTGGTACAATGACCAATTTTCCCGTTAAATCTCGACCAGATAAAAGTGTAACCCCAAGAAGAGTTTCAGAAAGATCGAAGAAGAAAATCTCTGACAGTGGACTAATAACATCTGAGAGTGAAAGTCGATCAGATGGAAGTGAATTGCGATCTCGATCAAAAGTGAGGGAAGAATTTTATGAGAAAATTTTACGAAATGTTGACCAAAGGCTATCAAATAGTCGAAGTGAACAAAGTGATTCTCTCAGTAGTAATTCACCTCCCCGAGTGAACCGAAGTCTTCCAACATCATCAAAAACAGCCGATGAATTTGATCTAATCAATAAATTAGCTGAAAAATATCTTAAAGATGTGAAAGGAGAAAATAACAACAACAATAATAATATGAAAACATCTCGTCGAGGTTTAATCAAGAAAACTAGTCTTTCCGAAGGAGAGGAACAAAAATTAAGGAGAAGCAAAAGATCATCTCGCCATCATCATCAACCTGTAACCGTCTCTGATTTTACGGAAGAACCTTCGATAGGTGCTGTTAATTACTTCGAAAAATATGGTTTATACGACAATTAAATGCAAAAAGAAAAATTTCCAATATTAATCAACAAATTCTCTTCATGATGTTCATTCATAATCATCGAATCATCTGTTACTTTCATCACTAATTTAACCGCATCATCATATTTTCCTCATATTAATCAGATATTTTCTAATTTGTTTGCCAACCTTTTCATCTTCATTCTGTAAATTATCAATATCTAAATCTAATTGTTGAATTAAAACAATGATGACACTAAATTAATTAAATTTAGTTCCAATCAACTCGAACCAGAATTTTTACAAAACAATAATAATCTAATTAAAATTTTTTTTCCAATCATTTAAAACACGACAAAAAAATTCATTCATCTATCGGCCATTGTTTTCATCTCATTAATTGTTCATCAAACTAACAATTAAAAATGAAATCGAAATTGAGAAAATTAAAAAGGAACAAAAAAGAATTTGAGTTTCCCGCCTTTTCCAATGTTCTCTTTCTTTTCCCCGTCTTTCTCCCTTCTTTCATTTTCTCTTTCTATTTTGTGAGTTCTCTTTCTTTCTACAAAATAAAATTGTCTTTCTTTTTTCTGTCATTTCTTTACTCGCAATTGTTTTCAATTTAAATAATTATCGTTTACTAATTAACCTTAAATTTTTAACCTTTAATCGTAATTACCTTTACAACAACTTCTATTTAAAGTGAAACCTTTGGTCTAAATCTTTTTTGCTTTTAACTGATTTTCTTTTTTCTTTTCTCTTCTCACTTTACTCTTTTTCTCTTTTTCTCTTTTCTATTTCTCTCTCCCTCTTTCTCTCTCTCTCTCACTAGTGTGTGTGTGTATGTGTAGTAGTTGCTGCGCTTCACGGTTTCTGTTTTTAGTGTATCAATTTTGATTTTTCTCTGGTTAACAATTTAACCTCAACTCAATTTTGTTTTGTGTACCTTCACCTTTACTAAATTAATACAGTCCAATGGCTTTTCGACGACCTTTCTTCAGTGAAACTCCTTATTATCGATCTGATATACAGAATTCACCAAATTTTAGAAATGATGCTTTTAACATGAGACCCGGGCCACCTCCACCTTCAACCTTAGACTTAAATAGGGGTAACCCTCTTTATCTTAGTCCATTTAATGATCATAAAATGTCACAAGACGTCAAGTTTAATCCTAATTTCAATTCTTACGGAGCAATCAGGAAAGATCCACCAATGTTTAGCGGGTTTGAAGGTATGTATTTTTATTAATACAATTGATGATAGAAATCTTGATAAATATGTATTAGTCTTTTTATCTCTTCTTCTAGTGATTGTCTTTTTTTATGACAAACAAAATCAAAGATTAAATTACATAGTTTGACAGTTTGTGAAGCAAGTTAATTTACCTTCACAATTTGAGAAACAAGATTATCTTTTTCTCAAAATGATCACGCTACTGTCATGATAATCTTGCGGTTCTCGGAACACATTGGATAACATTTTATTGCCATGACTCATTATTCTAATTCCTATGATCATTGATACTTATATTTTTTTTGTATCTACTTTTTATTTCTCTTTAGGTAATAATCGCCCTTTATTTTCGGGTGGACCATCAGGCTATCCAGAACCACCATTCCTTGAAGAACCCTCTGTTAAGCGTTTTAAGCAAACCTTTCCCCAAAGTACACCTCGTCAATTTGTTAATAAAGGACCTGCTGCAACAATTCAACAACGTAATCAGGGTGGAATTAAACCTCCTCTAGACAAGCCGAAACCTCCACCACCTTCACTGGAAAAGTTACAATCTTTGGAGAAAAGTGGAGTTCTTCCAACCCCTGATAGTGCTGGTTCCTCATTCCACTGTTTCTATTGTGATGCTTTCTGTAATTCCTTAATTACTGCTGAGTGTCACATCGATAGTCCTAAACACAAGAAGGTGATTCACTTAAATGCTTCAAATTTTTTTCCATCAAATCTTTAACCTTCTGTTTTTTTTATCTTTTTAGCATATGACTGAACCCAATGAGAAATTACAAGGCGTTGATTTAAAATTCGTTATGAAAACTGACAAAATCAGTAAGTTCTCTATTAATTTATCTTTTCGACGTCGCTTTGTCTTATACTAATATCTTTTTCCTTTCCAATTTCAACAGCTGATGTTAATATATTAAAATCTCGGAAAGAAGAATTGAAAAAATTGACAGATGACCAGAAGACCAGATATGCCGAGCAAATGATTCGACTTAAAAATGGTGTTGGTGGTGAAGCATTTTATTGTCTGGTACGCTAATTGGCATCTCTTTTCTTGGCAACAATTAATATCATTCAAATTGATCTAATTTATTGTTTATTTATTTCCATAGCTTTGTAATAGTCCTTTAAACTCACCAAAGGTCATCGATCCTCATATCACGAGTTTACGACATATAGCAGTAAGTTATTTGACCAGTACAATTTATGTAACCAAAATCAACTAATTTTTCCATCTTCATTTCTATTTAAACCTTACAGTTCTACGAAACTCATAAAACTGAAATTGAAAGTAAGTTGAAATTTCACCAATCGATTTCGATAATTGTAATCTCACTTTCTCTTGTCATCTTTGTAGAAGCAGAAAAGGAAAGGGAGGAAGAAGCCAAAAAAGAAAAATCTGATGGACCAACTCAGGACAAAGTTACATTAGATGAGCAGCTCAAATTGGTTAAAGTACCAGTAATAGGTACGTGATTGTGCAACAATTTATGCCGCTATCAATTCACAATGACAATTTAGGCACAAACAGATATGATCCTTTATATGGGTTAATATTTTTCTTTTTAATTGATATTAGGATTGGAAGAGATTGTTGAATACATCGATCCAGAAAATGAAGAGATGAGAATCTACGAGTGTTCATTGTGTAAAGTCTTTAATAATGCTGCAACCGTCGTAAATCATGTTATTGGATTTAAACATCGAGTTAATTACATTGTGAGTAAAAGTTAAAATAATAAGTTGAAATAATCTTGAGTTATAACTAATATCTTGATAAATATTTTTACCTTCTATAGAAAAAGGCTCGTCCATTAGAAGCTTGGAGTTTCAGTGAAAGAACTCGAGAGACAATGTCTCTTGCTCAAGGAAAAGCAAAAGAGATTGAAGAAGCTGATGGTAGAAAAAAATGGACCGTTAAAAATGAGAAGCCCAAAATTCCTCCAAATGTATCGGTTAGTCCTACAAAGAAGGTAAATCTCAAAGAAATCAACGAACAATCGGTTCCTTTTGAAATGAATGGTCCAAGTGTTCTCGATGTCTTTACTAATTACAAAATTGAAAGTGACTCGGATGCTCAGAAAGCAGTTGAAATAGTCAATTCATTGATTGACTCTCTTCTCAAGTACAAGTTGAGCAAGTTTCCCGCCGAAATGCGAACTGTATTAGCATCTAAACTGATCAGCGAGGGAATCAAGACAAGTCTAGATAAACATTTGGTAAACGGTGTTACAGAACCAGAAGAATCAAATTTAAAGAGTGATAAATCAACCGTATTGGCTTAATTAACCACAAACATCATATTTAATCACCTTTTTCTTTTTTGGTTCTGGTAACAAAATTAATCCATCTAAACTCTTACTATTACTTCATTCACCACTTTGCTCTCTCTCATCTATACACTCGACAAAACTACTATCGACGACCAACTTTATACTAACCTCAATCTCACTCTTCTTCTATCCCTTTGTCTTTTTCTCTCTCTCTCTCTCTTTTCTCTAACTCCCTTCTCATATTTGTCAATGACAAACTTTATGCAACCCTTTCCAAATTAGTGTATTATCTTTTGTTCAAAAATCATTTTCTTAATTCTCAATCAAACACTTAATGTAATGGTTGTTTAATAATCACTGAATAACTTTCTTTTTCTTTCTCCAACAACAACAAAAATTCACCAATTTATCATCACCTTAATCATCTTCTCTCGATCATCACTCTTGACATAATCATTTTCATCATCTATCTACTCACCAATGGATACCCAATCTGAGAGAGAAACAACAATGGATTCTACTCCATCACTTGACAAAAGAAAAATATAACTGTAAACAACCATAAAAAATACCTATGTCAAATTGGAAGACAAAGATTATCAACAATTAACTTACAAAATCATCTTTTCATCATCAACCATCAGCATCTTATAGATTATCACGGGTTCTCTTTTTTTCTTCGTCCTCTCTCTCTCTCTCTCAAGATAAACTTACACAAGTTGTATTACCTCATGGAAGGATATCTATCTCTCATCAATAATCAACCATCAGTAATAATTCAGGAAAAAATCAGTATCTAATATCCAGGAAGCCAAATAAATTAATTAACCGTCGCAACAGTAAAAATCATCATCATTCCTTGAGAAAACAAAAAATCACTTAATCCAAACATGAAAATTTCAGTTCATTTTACCATCAAACTCACTTGACAACAAAAGGAAAACAAACAAACAAAAACAATTTAATATCTTGTCAATTTCAACAAGTCATCTTTTGGATTTCATTAAAAACAATTAATTAAATTAAACATTTTCACGATTCACTTTTTATTGATTTAACTCAAAGAAAACAAATGGGCGCAACTGCGCATGCGTCGAATTTTCTATTCCATTGACAAGATTGACTTGAGTTCCATTTTTGAATGGATGTTGTTTCTATTTTGATTCCTGCCATTTAACTCAGTGTTTAAATTGTTCTAATGTCCAAACACTCAAGTTCAGCCATCCATCTTACAAGTGACAAGAAACCCAAAAAATATTTTCTCAATTTGAAAGATGACAAACGTTTACCTTATCCGATTCCATTGAAAAACTGTTGTAATCAAATCCAATATCCTTTGGATGCTAAGAGTGATTCGGTTGTTTATTTTAATTGTTACATTAATTACGAGGAGAAATGCTGTGAAATTCGTGACGAGTGTTCAATCCAAGCTCTATACTACCATGGCTCTTTCGGTAAAGGTTCACTTTCAAGTAATGCTCCAATTTACGAGGTTGTTGATGAGATTAAAAATCGCCAACGATCAAGCAACAAGTTTATTTGCGAACAGCAACAATCCCTGAACAGAGCTTTTCCTAAACGACCGGACATTGGATCAATTATCGACGATTTATATCGGAAGACACCGTCACCTTCACCTTCGCGTTCATCTTCACCCGTAGCATCATCGTCATCATCAAATTATATCAGACAAATTCCAATACAAAGAGTTGATTTGGAGAAATCAAGAGAGACTCGAGAAACTCTGAGACTCTCATTGGAGGAAACATTTTTTCTCGCTTATTGTTTGGGCTGTTTAACTGTTACCGATCCAAGAACGAAAAGTAAATTAAATTTAACTCAAATTTGGAAAACATTCTCATCGATCCATAGTAATAACGGTGATATGGTTGAATTTGCCGGCTACTATGCGGCCTATCATTACTTTCGGAGTAAAGGTTGGGTCGTTAAGAGTGGAACCAAATTCGGTTGTGATTTTAATCTGTACAAAGATGGACCCGCTTATTATCACGCTCTATTTTCCGTTATTGTGTTTACCCTGAGAACAGATCAATCGATTGGTGACAAATATCCTTCCCGTGATTGGCAATTCCATGTTGGCCTCAATCGTCTAAGTGAAGCTGTTCGTAAACAGGTTGTCCAGTGTTTCGTTATTGTACCTCAACAATTGACCGATGTCCAACTCTCCGATCCAAGGGTAATAACAACATTTGAAATTCGAGTAAGTTGTACAATCGAAACTTGTAAATATTAACAAAAATTTTATTCATTTTTTTGGTTGTTTATTATTCATTTAAATTGATTTTTTTTTGTTTGGGTTTTTTTTTCTACAGACAACCTTGTTGAGGAGATTTAAAGCATCACAGGAAATAACCATCTCTCAAGATTGTGATATTTGATGGTCAGTTTGAGTCTTTTTCTTTGTTGTATAAGCATTTTCACCAAAAGGATCAACTCTTTGTTTTGTCGAGTGTCTTGTTGTATTTAAATAAAAATAATTTATACCAGGGTAATGGATTAATATTGGACTGGGTTAATAATGTAAGTTGTGTTTTTTTTGTGTTGATTTTTTGTTGTTTGTTTGGGGATTTTTGGGCATTTTGTGATCGTAGATGAAAAGGTTCAAATGTATCAACCAAATTGAACAGTTGATCAAAACTCGAAGGTATTTGGCCAATACAATTGTTTTAGCTGCACATTGAGAAGGCTTGTTTTGTTGTTGATTTGATTAATTTCATCTACTATCAGTGATGTTGTTGATTGAAATCATTTTCTCACGATTTTGATGATCATGCAAACAAATTTGTTGATAAAAATTTTTCCCACCAAATGAACGAGAGTTTTGGTCAGTTGAGGTGTAAATGTTTCTTTTGTAAGATGAATCCTTTTAAAATTATAAACAGGTTGGTGATGGTCAATTAAATCAATGATTAGTGAGAAAATCATCCAATCCAATGAATCAATTAGACAACAGGTAAATCAAAACAATCTCGTGTGTCCAATGAATCCACCATAATGATAGAAGAGAGTTGATTTTTTTTGATTTGTCGTTTTTTTTGGCATTGTTATTAATGTTAATTGTTTCTCATTTTGATGAAGTACCAGTCTTGTTGATGATGGAAACAAAAATTGGAGATTCTTGTGTTTTTGGTTGATGAACTTTTCAGTTGATTTGGGTGAGAGAAAAGATTCAATCGGAAAGGTTAAAAATTGAACTAGATTAGTGTATAAGTAATCGGATTAGAAGATAATCAAATTGATCATTTCTCATTTAAGATTATCTCTTTTTTTTTCGTCGTGAGGGATTAATGAAAATTGTCATTGATGAAGATGAAGAGATGAGGAAATAGAGAGAAAGAGAGAGATGAGGAGGAGGGAAAAAATTCAAAGATAAAACAGAAATTGATGATTTTGAGGAAAAAAAAATGATGTGATGAGTTGGTGATGATGATGAACAGATTAATGTTTGATTTGATTTTCTTTAAGGTTATAATAACAGGTTCTGAAGTATTCGATGAATTATATTATGTCATCCGCTATATCCTTTCAAATGAGTTCGTGCAAGACTGAATTTGGACCTGGTACATTTATTCAATTCCAATAGGTTGTTGAATTTTGACCAAATTTTAATGATTGAATTGACCGTCTCATCGTTGTATAACTGTGTCGTTAAACCATCAAGATATTGCAGATTTGGATTATAGAGAGCACAAGTTTTAACAAAATCTAAAAAATCATTATTATGAACAGGAATAGTTAGATGAGTAAGGCTTGGATTATTGATCAATATTTGCATGTAAGCTTCACGGGAGAAACGATGATCAACTTTGGTTGCATCAATTACCAATTGTTTCAGGTTTTTCACTTCAAGTAAACAGCCTAAATTACCAAGCATGTTGTATTTGATTAAGAATATACTTTCAAGATTAGGGCAGTATTCAAGAAGTTTAACAAGATTAGTTTCGTTAATCTTGTCAACACGAGATTGGTAATTAGAGTTGTACTTAGCGTTTTCGATTCTCAATTGTTTCAGTTGAGATCCTTTTTTCTGGAGTAAACTGAGAACAGCATCGTCACAACAATGATTTTTGAATTCAACGCAGGTTAAATTAACACTAAGGCAGGTAAAATCCATGTTAAATCGAGCAAAATCCCAGATGATTAGCTTCTCTAATTTAGTACATCTTTTCAACAGGTCTGACAATTTGGAGTTACTCAGGGTAGGGTGAGAGGCTCGAACTTCCAGACTGACTAAATAGGGTAAATTTCCTGGTAATTTACGAAGATCCCACCAAACAAAATTAGTAAATACCAAAGCATTCAAATGAGTAAGACGTTTACAATTATGTAATAGATGAGCAAAGTTAATCTCTATCTTATGGATTCGAGGTTCAAACATTTTACGAAATTCTGAGGTGTAATAGAGGTGACGAGGATTACATATCTGAATCGGGCAGAATTTAACATATTTAGAGACCACAATCTCGAACCTTTTGCAAACTGTTGATTAAAAATATTTTCCATTCAGAATAGAAAGGAAAGAGAAGAGAGTAGAGGTCATTAGTATTGTTGTTTCAATTGGGGACAGAAAGAGAGAGAGAGAGAGAGAGAGAAGAAAGAAAGAAAGAAAGAGAAATAAATAAGAAACATTTGAATAATGAGAGAATAAAACGAAATTGAATAGAATAGAACAAAAAATTGTTCTCATTTACCTGACTTGAGGCGAAGTAATTCTCTAACATTGGTTAAATTCTTTAGAATTTCAAACATAACGTCATCGTTGAGATCAAGAATCGTTTTACCTCCTTCATAATTATAATTCCAAGTATCATTCATCTCGATAATTGGATCACCAGTAGTTGTAGTTGAAATGATTGGTTTTTTATTCTTAGGGTCACTATTTGATAAATCGTTGTAAATATTATCGTAATTTGGATAGGGAATAATATCGTCCATACCTGAGGGGAAAAGATTAAAAATACCTTGGGTCAAGCAAAATAGAGAAAGAGATAAAGAGAGAGAGAGAAAGAGAAAGAAGATGAGAGGATGAGAAAAAGAAGAAGAGAGAAAGAGTCAAAAAGATGAAGGAAAAAAAATCAAAACAAATAAAAATTAAAAGAGAAAAATTTTTGTAAACATTCAGATAATCGGATGGAAACCGATAAATATCACATAATCGTATTAAAATTATTCCCGAATAACGAGAAAGTGAAAATTAGACAGAGAAGAAAATTAATTCGAAAGAGAAAAACTCGGTAAATGGAAAATATCGCAATTCCTAAATACAAGTCTCACAGATTCGATATTCAATTGGATCTTCTCTCTTACCTTGAGTCTGTTTTTCCAAACAACAGGTGTCGCCCCAGTAGAAAAGAACATTTTCTCTTTCGAACACCAGATGTCCCCATGTAGAATAATCAAACGGCGGTTTAATTGATTGGAATTTGTTTGTGTTTTCATTTGAGTCTCAAATCTTTTTGTAGTTAACAAAAGTGTCTTGTTTTCATTAAATCAAATCAAATCTAATTTGCTTTTTAATTATTATTACCACAAATGGAGTATATTATTTACGTTTACCAATTAATCATTTAGATTAATTTGTTCGCTATTAACTAAACAGATTCACCAATTAAAAGTGTTTCTCTATGTGTGTGTTTTTCTCAAATCAAAATCAGTGATTAATTTTTTTTTCTATTTTTCTTCAATTCTAATATTCTTTTTTATTCTCATTTTCTATTCTATTCTGTGTGTTTATCCCATTAATCTTTTTGTATGTAATTATTTTTTCTTATTTTTACTTTTCTTCTCCTTCCATTATTATGGTTATTTGTGTCTTTAAGAATTATCATTATTTCTCAAAATTCTCTGTGATGAAAAATGATCTCTCTCTCTCTCTTTGAATTTTGAGTAATATTTTGTTATTCAATTTTTTTTTAAAGAATCGATCAAATAACAACACATAACCAAATAAGATTAATTTACTTTACAGTCAAACAATTTACAGGTTGAATTGAGTTTCTATTTGAAATATTTTCATTGTAAAATTTAATCTCGTTCAAAACAATTGAAATGATGACAAAAGAGAAAAGAGCCAATCCAATACAACTGATGATTATGTTTTTCCAAACAATCAAATGGACCAACTGAATAGAAAAAAACTTTCATTGGATTTAGAAAAACGAAAATTTTAAACATTTTTAGAGTAAAAATGGATTAAGTCAGTGGATTAGCCGATAGCCAATACAAAGTAAATAGAAAATATTTCGTTCCTAAATAGAAATTCAATTCAACTCAAATTCTTTCACTGAATATACTTTTTGCTCTTCTTCATTTGTTATAATATTTTACAATTTTCTCTCTTGTTTGTTTTTTTTTTCTTCTAATTCCTCATCAGGTGATTTTGCATATATTCTTTGTTTTGTTTTATACCATCTTCCTGGTTAAATTACCACCATCATCATCATCATGCCTGCTCTACCCAATGTTTATAGTTATTACCCTAAACATATCTTTGAATCTTCCATTCCAATAAACTCTCTCACCTACAAATGCCTTGCTAAATTGGCTACAATCGAGAGCTTGTCAACTGGCTTTCCATTGAAAAGTGAAGTTAAATTAGCTTCTCCACCTTCAGTTACCGTTTCATCTTCTGAAACGCTTCACACAACAACATCAGCAGCAACAACAACAACAACAATAACAACAACAATTAATGACACTACCACTACTCCAACTGGTGCCTCTCTAGCATCACCTTTACCATCAACATCAAATTTTCCATCATCATCATCATCATCGTCATCATCATCATCATCATTACCACATTCACCCTTTTCATCATGTTTACCTACACCATTATCATCATCAACTGTAACTCAATCATCTTCTTCCAACCATGATTATAATGACGATGAAAATAATACTGATGATGATGATGAGGATGATGATAATGATGATAATGATGACTCTCTATCTCCATCACAAGCTATCCCAGCAAACCCATTGGGTGATTTTCAAAATACACCAATCATAATTAGACAATATATTGTTGATTATGTTACCAGGGAAAGATTACAGATCAGTTGTCAATATCTTTGTGATTTACTTTCTGATGGAGGATGTTATTCAATTGATCTGTGGGAGTTGAGCTCCTTTAATCAATTTGGTGAAGCTGAAATGATGAAAATTTTTTCCACAATGAATCAAAATTGTTACAATTTACGTCAATTGACTTTGGGTGGACCAACATGGATCTACAAGTCTCGAGTAGTTAATGGTCCAATGAGAAACCTGTTTAAAGAAAACACTCTAGTTAAATTACGATGCCTTAAATTGCAACAAACCTCTTCACCCGAGGAGCTGATCACAATCTTCTCATCTTGTCCAAATCTTGTCAGATTAGAGATAATTCAACCATCATTGACGGATAAGCAAGTTACTACTGTTTATAGAGAATTACAGCAGACAGAATATAATAAGGTTCGAAATTCTCTTCGTGACCTTCGATTACCTTCTTCGGTTCATGTAGCCGGTTTAATCAAGATGATCAACTTATTTCCAAATTTAGTCTTTCTTAATTGCTGCCATTATGAAGGTGTTTTGGAAGCAATTAAAAGTGAAATGATGACCAAACAAATTTATGGAGATTATGATATTTTACAATTACAACAAGCAGCAAATATATTGGAAAATTTGAGAGGCCTTACAGTTACCAGGCCAATGGGTCGTGATGCGGTCAATTCATTGGTCACCTTATCACCTAATCTACAAGAATTGGTTCTTGAAATAAGCGCTCACATGTTACTATTTCCAATAGCGGAGTTAAAATATTTGGCACGTTTGGCTTTATACAATTCACAAAGTTCTCCGGCTTCATTTCTCCAACAAGTACTACCTCTTTTGCAGCAAACTGGTGATAATCTGCAAGCCCTGGACTTGGAAGGATTTGATGTTGTTGACCTTGCAACTTGTGCCCGATATTGTCCCAATTTGAAACACTTTTCCGGCGGATGGTTCACAATTTTATCCTTTACCCAAGCAACCACAGGTTTAACCATTTCCAAGCAAGAACGAGCCAACCTGCGTAGACCATTTTCACACCTTCAAACTTTACGACTTCGACCTCGAACCCGACACAATGTGGGTGTTAAAGCGATCGTCTATATCTTAACCAATGCTATCAACATTGAATCTATTGAACTTTACTCATGTCCTGATCTCACCGATGAACAACTAATTGGATTGATAAAAAATAATTCTCTTCGTAACCTTCGATCCTTAATCTTACGACATGGACATTTCTTATCTAAATCTTGCCTTAACCAATTAGTACATTCTCTGGATAATCTTAGTTTCCTTGATTGTGGAGCACCATTGCTCTCCAAAGCTGAGCTTAATTGAAAACAAGGAGAGAGAGAGAGAGAGAAAGAAATGATAATTGATGATTGAGTGTTAAGTGATTAAAGTTCTGATTGTAAATATTTTTCTTCATTTTCTCTATTTATTTGATTAATAAATAAAGACGATAATAATCAAGTTGATTGTAAACATAGTATTAGATAGGGAAGAGGAAAATGAAAGTTAATCAGTGTTTGTTTTTATGGTGAAAATTAAATAAAAACTCAAGGATAGAAATACCCAATTAATTATGGTTGATGAGATTGTGAAATGATTTACTGATTAACTTACATGGTTAATCAACAATAATAAACGTTGATTGTTGATAAATTGCAACAAAAACACTTCAATCAATCACCAACCGGTTGATTCCAATCATTTTCACTTTTACTTGTTTTCCATCTTCCTCGTCTCATCATCGTCATCATAACAACAATTAAAGTTAATCGAGTTCTAAATCGTTCTAATCTTCAGTATCGTTACAATTTCGAGAGATAAAATAATAACTTCATCAATCATCCATTAAAATGTTAGTTAATGTTAATCACCACAAGTAATTGATCTTTGGAATCACCTACCATGATGATGATACAAAAAAAATGGAATCATATTGATGCAGATTAATGATTAGTTTATTATAATCTAAATCGATAATACCTGGAAAAAGTTATAACGAAATTAATGTTTTACTAAATTGTAACCTTGAATTTGTAGCTTGAAGCATAGCTAAAAGTGATTAATTCATATTATTTTTAGTTGGATACAAGTTTTTAAAGTTTTTCTTACTGACAAATGAAACAAACTATTGAAAACATGGAAAACAAATCAACAATATTGATAATAATCAACAAATTATAAAATACTCACCCAACATACACAAACACACAGGATGCATTTAATAACAATTGTTGATCTGTAACAATTAACTGATTACAAATAGAGCTAATAATGGAAAACCCCTGACAATTAAAACCTTGGTAACCGGGAAGTGTTTCAAATAATCAAGAGAGAGAGAGAGAGAGAGAGAGAGAGAGAGAGAGAGAGAGAGAGAGAGAGAGATTGAATGAAAAAATTGAGATTCTGGTTAATAAACAAACCAGAAAAGTCCTTGATCAGATTTGATAATCTCAATCGTCATTTTTACGTTTGAGCTGATCACGCTCTCGGTGTGATTCATGGTGATCCCTCCCCTGATTCCAATTGAAATCACATGTTGAACCTTAATTGTAACTCAATCCAATGGTAAATACATCATTCAGTTCATTATAATCTATTAATATAACACTCAACCAGATAATCGTTGATGAGAAAATACTTACAATCAGAACTTTGATCACTTTATCATTCATTATCATCTCTCTCCCTCTCTCACTTTATATTGTACAATTAACTAATGATAGTGATCATATTACGATTATTACGATTCATGATTTTCAAGTAAACATGGGAGAAGAACCTGAAGACTTACAGCAAAAAGAATAGCATTAAAAAGCTTCATCAATCCGGACCATTGCAAAATAGAGTTCATGTCCCATGGGTCAAGGGTCAAACGTTATAAATGATCAATTAAATTGCAAATTAATCGTACGAGTTGTGATTAGATTTTAATCAAATTTTCGCAGCGAAAATTTTTGATATGAATTCGTATGTGTATTCAATTCCCATTGTTATAATGTAACTACAATGATTTGAGAAGCCACAACACCAGAAACACTATGAAGATTAGTGAGAGAGATTAATTAATCTTAATTACCTATTAATCTAATATTTTCCTCAATTAGTTGATTTCAATCGCGATCAATATCAATTGACTAAATCAAGAAGGAAAATTTGAAGCTCAGTTTTCACATGAAGAAACCTCAATGAACTTATTGGCTTTGATCTAGAAATTAAGTCTAATATTGATAGTCCACATTTCTAATTATGAATTGACTGACCTAGAATTAACTAATTGTTGTCACAATTAAATGTCAATTCGATTTGGTTTCTCCGAGTGACTTGATTAACATTTAATTGAACATTTAATCAAATATTACGGAAACTAAATCAACATTAATTGTTTTTGTTTGTTAATTGAAATTAAATCTGGATCATAATCATAATCATCATCTAGGAATTGATTATCTGTCACTAATTAATTCAATCAAAAGAGGAAAAAAAGTAAACAAATTTAAATCTGTCACAATTTAACTAATCATAATGAATGAAATGATATCAGATTAATTAGCTTAATTAGAAACAAATAAATAACAAAATTAGGTTACAATTAAAACTTGGAAAATTTAATGATAATAAAAATTAAAGTTTCAATTAAAAGTTTTTCTTATCATTATTTGTAAATAAATTAATTAGTAGATCAATTTTTGTTGTTTATAATGATAAAGTTTAATTATTATCATTTGATTTGATTGAGAAGAAAAAAAAAACAATCAACAACAATTAAGGAAATTGTAATTATTAGTTATCTAATCAAAGGGTTGGTGTATCTAAATGAACTCAATTTGAAACAATTAGCAAATTGTTTTGAATACGATTCGGATGATTTAAGAAACTATTAATATTAATTGATCAATAGTGACAATTTAATTTGATTGAAAAGTGATTTGTTTAAAATTGAAATGATCATGAATCAGACTCTCAGATGAGTCACAATTTACAGGGTAATTACGTAATTGTTACCTTGATTACATTATAATTAATGGTTATTAACACGGGGATCTGATTGGGTAGCAACCATGTTATTGAAAAACTGGTTAACAAGGTGACTCACAATCAACATGGTCATTTAATTGCTAATCAAGGTTGTGAGAAAGTTTCTCCAATCAGATTGATTGTTATTACCTAGGCCTTAGAGGTCAATCAAATTCATGATGAGAATCTGAATGAAATCACCCAAGAGGAAAACGAATGGGAAAAGAGCTCAGAATCAGAATCAGAATCGGAATCGGAATCATTGATGAAAAAAGACAAACAAAGTTGATCAGAACTTTTTTTGTTCTCTCTCTCTCTTTCTCCATTCAATCAATTAAATCTTAATTGTGAATTTATTATCCTTCCCAACAATTCAATTAGAACCAAACTTTTGATTTCCTCCATCAATTTAAGGAACTGGATTAAAGTTTTTGTCCATTTTTAACAATAAAAAAAGAGCTAAATTAACGACAAGTTAATTTGATTTCTTCAAATTTTTTTCCCTTTCCAACAATCAAAAGTATAATTAGAAATTAACTATCAATCAAATGGTAAAAATCGTTCCTTATACTTTTTTTTCTGCATAGTAACATCACAATTAACTAATTGTAGCAATTCAACTCAAAATGATTAAGCCAAAAATCAATTGAACCACATGGATAATCAATGTTTTGTTGTTACTTGACTTTCTGTATCTACAGAAAAGCCTTTTATTTAATCCTTGTATTAAAAGATTAAGCTGATTACCATTTTTTTTTTGCTTAATTGTTGTGAGTTAATTGTTGGATAATAATAGCTGGTGAAAAAGAGACGATTTAATTGTGATGAAAATGAGAAAGTGATCTGATTAGAATGACAGAAAAAAGGTCTCACTATTAAAACGCTTTAAAATGTTAAGTGTAAATGATTCAACTAATCAGTTAATCCTCTTAATCATTACAATCAGTTAATCGATTAATTTATATGCAAACATTTACTATCAAGTTATTAATCAATTTTAATCAACTGTGTGTATCGGAATAACGGAAGCAATTTGTGTTGATTGTTTTAACAAACTCGAAGAGTAAGAAACAAAAATGGATTTTAATTGCTACAAATTAAGAGATAATCAACTAATTAACCTTAATCAACAATCAACTCTAATTACTTGGCTTATAATCGCGATGATATCTTGGTTTACTTTATCCAATGGTGATCCTCATGTTCTGGATGATGATTGTCTCAAATGTATTTGCATGGTAAGTCAATTTTTGCCCAATTTAATCAACAATTAAATCAAATTAATTGCGACCAAAGCAAAAAAACAAGACAATCAATCATCTTGATCAACATTCAGAAAACAATATGCTAATCCAGTTTGAATAATCAGATGAAGATTAAATCTGTCAACCTTGTAATTGATTGTTATTAATCCCGTTTCTCTTAATCGTTCAGGCCAGTTCTGAGTGCGATGATCAGGTCCGTTGTCACACCGAGGGTCAAGATGATTATTTTTGTGGTCCATTTCAAGTGTCACGTAATTACTGGTTTGAAGCTGGTTCACCTGGTTACGATGCCTCTAATCCAATGGGTAAGATGGATTAAGGATTAAGATTAAAGTTGGAGTAGAAACAAAATCAACTAATCTGACCCTTATCATTCAATAGTAAATCAGATGTTATATTTAAAGTGATTGTAAACTAATTGGAAATGTTAATTATCTCATTTTTATTTAGATTTTGAAAATTGTGTCAACAATATTTATTGCGCCATTCAAACTGTCAATCAATATTTAAAGATTAAGCAAAAGGATTGTGACACCGATGGGATAATCACTTGTCAGGATTACGCTTTGTTACATAGATTTGGTCCAAACAATTGTACCGATGAAAAGTTGTATTCAAATTCATCGTTCTGGAGTAAATTTGATTCATGTTTCTCATTTACCAATGGAACTAAACAGTTTTAAATTGTCCACTAATCTACAATTAACTTGATCACCAAGAAAATCATTGATCTCAATCATTAATTATTAGCACATTAAATTGCTGATAAACTTACAATCATTTGATTTTGTGTTCATATGATCAAAAGTAGTAATCAGTTGATTACAATCACTGTCATTAAATCATTGATTACGATAATTATTCAGCCCTAATAATATCAATATATAAAAATTGTAATGATTATCAAGGATCTTGATCAATCAATTGATATAATTATTGATTGTTAACTTTTAATTATAATCCAATATCCTGGTTGTTTAAAATCAATTTAAATCCAACATGATAATTGTTTTTTTATATGAAGAAACTTTTTAAAATCAAATTTGATTAATTAAAAACTTTGACTTTCTCATGTTTTCATTGAATCAAATTAACTGACTGAAAATTACAATTTAAGTTAATTGTTTCATCGCAATTGGAGATGATGTTAAAATGTTAATTGTTCAACTAATTGTTAGCAATTTAATTTTTAGTTTGATCTTGAAGATGAGATGATAAGAAGAGAAAAAGGAAAAAAAATTAAATTGAAAAAAAAAGAAATTATCATTTACAAAATGTTAAGGTAATTAACTTTTTGATTGTTGATTACACTCAATGAAAAGTGATCAAATGTAAATCAGCTGATTGTAAACATGATCGTTAGCATGATTATCACATGGTAGATGACGAATGAAGAAGATGATGATCAGCTGGACTTAATTATCTTGGAGCCATTAGCTTGATGAATTGAGTTCCTATTCTTATTAATTTTCTGAGATTCTGATAATCGTCCAGTAAATTTGGCCATCAACTCAAGGAAACCCGCTGCTTTGTACATATAATAGCCGCTCATCGAGGGTATAAATGACCTTACTACCATGAGGTAATAGACGATTCGAGGTAGTACCAGAATAAATTGATCGGTTCGAATGGCATGAACTATTTTCTCAGCGATATATTCAGGATCCAGGGTAGAGATGAGGCTGGATGAGGCTCCATCAAACATGCCAGTGTTCACGAGGAAGGGACAAATTGCCGTACATTTAACACCCGTGTGTCCACTTTTCATCAGTTCACAGGCCAACGTTTCGTGTAACATGTAAACAGCGGCCTTGGTCGCTGAATAATCCGTCAACTTTGGTACACCAAAGAACGATGCAACCGTTGCCATGGTCACAATGTGTCCATGATTAGTGGACATCATATCGGGTAGAAAAGCTCGATTAATCCAAAAATTGGACAAAATGTTCACATCAAATGAACGGATAATCTCTTGATCGGACAATTGGAGAAACTCTTTACCAGAAACGACACCAGCATTATTGATAATCATGGTAACATGAGTACCAATTTCCGATTTAATTTTCTCGGGCATCGATTGGACCCATTCACGATTAGAAATGTCACCAACATACTCGTAGCACTTGCACCCTAACGACCTGATGGTTGACGCTGTTGCCTTCAATGGTGGGCCATTAATATCCCATAGAACTAAACATTTGACCTTTGGTGCCAATTTAAGTGCCAAAACACGGCCAATGCCACTCGCAGCACCAGTAATTAGAACAGTCTCATTTTCGAGTGACTTGTATCTCCATTGACCAGGAATGAAAAAGTAAACAATTGCCTCCAACCAATGATAAAAGACCAATGATATTAATCGAATTAAATTTTTCAATGATTCATTCATGGTTTTCTTTGTTATTGTCCCAATCACAATCAACTAATTGTCAGCCCAATTGTTGAGAAAACAAGAGACTGTAAGGAAACACAGAATTGTAATAATATTGAGATAACTGGATTGACCGTTTCAATGATGTGGCCTCTTTGAAAATCAAACGGACAATAAGAATGAGAATAAGATTTTCCATTTTTAGGACCATGATGATGATGAAGATGAAGATGATGATAAAAATGATGATAAGAAAGAGAAAAAGAAAGAAAAAAGTCAGATCGAGTGAGAAGGAAGAAAAAAGTAAAAGTAAATAATGAGAATGATTAAAATCTATTGTGAACCGGTTGATGATTGATTAAAGTCTATTTTTAAATGTTCATATTTTTGTAACAATTAAAGTCGATTGTTGATCAATCCTGTTAGTTAAAGTACAATCAAACCTGAAACTCAGACAATTAACTCCCACATCAACAATTAACTTTGTTAACGAGTTACCGTTAGTATTGACTGACCAGCGTAAACATTTATCATCATGTTATTTGATTTTTGCTTTTCAATTTTCGCTTCCGTTGATTTAAACCAATTTAATTGTAATTCATTTGAACAATTTAACAATTTAACAATCAACTTAATCATCGACATCAGTTGCATGTGAAAATTAACAAACAAAAACAGCAAATTCAAGATGATGTTCAATTGATTGATTGTTGTCTACCTTTCTGATGATCATCAGAATCACTTCAACTACAAGTTAATTGTCATTGATTATCAATCAATGATTACAATTAGAATTAACAGAATTAACTATCCCATAGGTATTTCCAATTGTTGAGAGAATCAATTTAATTATGATTAACCTTGATGAAAAGGTGAATGAAAAAAAGTACCAAAAATAATCAAACTTGGACAATTAAGATTTACTTTTTTTCTCATCTATCATTAATGTTAATTGTTACCACCAATTGATGTTGATTATTTTTCATTGTTAATCTAATGATGTTTGAGTGACATGAAGGATAAATTGATCATAATAATAAACTCATAAACTTTTCCAACAATCAAATTAAATTCATATTATTAATATAAACCAATAAACCACTGTAACTATTAATACACTTGTAATAGTTTAATTGTCAACGGTTGACCTTTTTTTTTCCTGTTGTCCTGCTAATTGTCAACAGAAACAACAACAATTAACTTTTATTTCAAGACAATCAAATCAATCTTAATTTGATTAAATGATTAGATGAATTAGTTTTTTTTTTCATTTGTTCGATTGTTTTAATTTTGATACAATAAAATTGAATTAATTTTCTCATATTTAGTTTTCATAATTAATTTAAATTGATTTGTTTCATTTAATTGTGCAAATATGATCAATATTTTGCATATAATTTAACTTAAATTGCATTGTATCCATTTTCTTGATTTGAGTTGATTAATTATCATCAATTCTGGTGAACATGGTGAGTAGATTGTGGTTTCAATAGGAGTTGTTGGTGTTCATGGTGTTCATGGTGATTATTCAGATCTTATTCAGTTGATTGGTGTGAGTTTTTCTGGTGGATTGTATTGATTTAGGTTTCATTTCCTTGTTTCATAATTTATATATAATAATTAATTGTATTAATAGTAAATTAATTTATGTGATAACCCATTGATTGATTCATTTTGATTATCTTTCCAATCATGTTTTTGTTTACTAAATCATTGGATTATCATATTATATCAAATCAAACATTAGGTTTGATTGTTTGAAAAACAAAACTCAATTTTGTAACTTGATTTAATGGAAACAATTAAATTGATTGCCAGAGTGTTTGGTAACTTTCCTTATATTATTGTTTTTCTTTTAATTGTTCAACACAATTTAAAGTTAATTGTTTTCAATAGCAGAGAAGATTATTTAAATAATAGAATTGATTTTCGATTGCAAGTTCAGTTTGTGACATGATTCAGAGTAATTGAGTTGTATCATTGTAATAGAAAAAAAAAGTTCCAATTGATTTAATTGTTGCTATTTAATTGCTGAGAGTTTTGTTTTGTTTGAGGAGGAGATTTGGTCATCTTTTTTGTTGTTGATGCTTTTCTGGTTTCTTTTTTGGTGATTAAGCTGTGGTGGTCATCGTAGTGGTCATTTTGTGTTGATTGGGTTAATTTTAGACTGTGACAAGGTGTAAAAATTTTCCATGTTGAAGTTAAATCATTTTGTAGATTTCCTTTAATTATAAGCTCCCCAATGGAGATGATGGTTGTTACCTGTAACTACCTGTCCTGGTGTTACCGTTGCCGTTTGGGAGACTCCGGGTCCACCATGATTACCACCAGTCTTGTAGATGTGATATGCTGCTGTATAAGGGTCAACCAGATGATGATAATGAGGATGAGTTGAATGTGAAGGTGGATGAGGAGGTGGAGGTGGTTGTTGTTGTTGTTGGGAGGATATTGGTGGTGGAGGTGATTGATGATATGCATGTGAATGTGGGTGAACATGGGGATGGGTATGTTGATGGTGTTGATGAGTATGGTGGGGATTAGGGTGAGTGTGATGGGGAATATGATGAGCGTGATAGGCTGCAGTAGGAGCGACAACTTGAGGCTTAAGAATAGCTGGAGTTTCCCTGATCACACTTATATGGCGAAGTAAATTGGAAGCTGGACTTCCACAGGCTCCTGGACTACTTGGACTGGACATTAAATTATGTCCACCGACAATATTGGCTAAACCATTTGATCCAACCGTTACTCCTACTCCAGGTGATTCACTTGAGGGAGGTGATGGGGATTTCCAGGGTCGAACAGGACTAGAAGTGTAACGACGACGTTTAGAACAATCAATTGATGAATTACCCATAATATTTAAATTTGAAGATGAAGATGAATTGTTATTATTCGCGACGATTCCATGGTGACCTGGCGAGTTCCCATTCGATAGTCCATGTTGTTGTTGTTGCTGCTGCTGTTGGTGTTGCTGTTGAGAGGAACAAGAATCACTGGTTAATGGACGACGAATTCCGGTCCCGATTAGGCCATTTGAACCGTTCGACGATGACAATTGATTGGATTGATTTATGGTTGCTGATGGTGATGAGGATGAAACAGAAGATGGGGTTGAAGAGGGTTGAGGTTGTGATCCAACCGCCGTTGTTAAAGGTGAAGGCGGTGATGGGGTTATCCGTTTAGAAGATGGACTTGTTTTAATTGTTATCGGTGAAGATGAGACAGAATTAACTAAACCAATTCCACCACCAAGTTGACTTGAATCCATTATCACATTATCATATTCTACACCACTGGTTAAGGTAAAGAGCAAAAAGACAATCGAAATGAGAAAATTATCGATAAACAGTTAGTTCAATCATTTTAATTTCGTTGCCGATGATATCAGATCATCAGATCAACGACCATTTCTTGTAATGGAATCGATTTCAATTAAACTCACCTAATAACATAATTTACACTAATAATGCTTTGTTCTTGATCCTCTGTACCACCTCCGTTAGTTGGCCCATTATTAGTCGGACCTTTACCGTTAGTTGTACCACTATTATTACAAATTAACGTTGCACAGGTTTGAATCCAGGTGAATCCTCCATTTTTGTTCATTATCTTATAATATTTGGACATAACTTGCCCTTTGTGTATTACTAATGGGAAACAATAGATGGCGTTAGTAACACAAACTTTCAATTTCTCGAAAAAGTTGATCAAACAATTTAATTCAAATTTAATGAGTTAAATTCAGCTCATAAATTAGTGTAAACTTTGCTTTTCTCAGACATTTCACTAATCTCTTAATCCCTTTTTTAATTATCATCTCCCTGTTCCTCTTAATCCAGTGAGTATTTAATAAAAAAAAAACGATAAAAAAAATGAAATTTGAAAAAAATCATAATAAAAAAGTACGAAAATCTCAATGAATGAAAGAAAATGTTTACAAATGATTGTTTAATATCCTAACAATTAAACAAGAATAACAATTAAGAATTAAGATAAAGTAGAATAAGAAATGTAACTAAAATAAAGTTTTTCGGCCTCTCCTCTTCCTCTTCATCTTAACTTGATGATTTAATTTAATTGTCTCTTTAAGAGATGGAATGAATTTCCATTGTTGGCTATCAAAGGAAAATTAAGCAAACCAGGTTAATTGTTTGAACAAGTTGATTAATTAAACGAGGAGAGAGAGAGAGAGACAAACATAACTGAATTAAACTTACAATCAAGGTGACATTTTCTAAGTTGAATAACATCCTCTCCATGAACCAATGAATACATATTACGTCCCGTTAATTGATCAGCATTATAATCAAGAAGATCTGATATTCTGTAAAAGGTAAACAATAAAAACAAGAAAATTAACAGAGAGAATAAAACAAAGTGAGAGAGTGAGAGAGAACATATGAAGAAAAGATAATCACAAAGTTGACACACCAAAACCAATGGTGATAATTAAATGATTTACATACAAATACACATGACGATGAACACACAATTGATTCATTAAAGATAATAAAGGGTGGAGATAGAGTCCAGTTAATCGGTTGAGTTGACCATTCAGAATTCAACTGATTCTTGAAAGTCATGGTAATTAAGTTAATCTTCATCTTTGTTTCTATTTACCTTTACAATCAATTTGTTATTTCAATCCAAAAGTTAAATAATAAGCTAATCATTTAGAGGTATCATCTTTTTCATTGTCACCCCATCATCATCATCATCAAGCCATTATTATTATTGTGACAGGACCTTAATTGCTGAACCGAGTAATTAAAGTCCATTGAACAACAATAACAGAAACAATTATAATAAATAATATACAGAGACCAAAAATCCTAATTTTTTCATTATCAGTCTAATTTTAAGCATTTATACAATTACAATGATAATTAAACTACTATGATGATCATCCTCCTCTCTCATCATCATCATCATCCTGATGTAATTCCTATGGGTAGCGTTAAAAACTGATGATATTCATCTCTGTTTAATCTTCATTATGATAATTATTATAATCTAATGGTTCGATTAATTGTCCATCAAAGTAAATTAATTATTTTCCATTTTTCGTTTTTTTTCGCTTTTACCGTTATGATAATAAATGTATTCTTTTTATATAATATTCCAGTAAGTTCATTAGATACACTCATTTACCACGATTACCTTCATCATCTTTTTTTTTATCATCATTTCCTAAATTATTCTGGTTATTCCCATGGTAACCAATTGATATCATTATGAATACAAGGATAAAAACAATAACAATATTCACTTTGTTACCTGGTTCATTTTATGTTCATTAACAGATTAGATTTAACTTGGATTAGAACTTTTTATTTTTCTCAATCATTTAAACATTAATATTTAATGATGAAACTATTTTTTAATCAACTCGATAATTACCTAGGTTCACAATGAAGTATTTTAAAATCGAGTCCTAATCTCATGACAAACATATCAGGTTCTAAACGTAATTCGTTTACAGAAGGCGGTGGAAGTGCGATCGCCACTGCGACAAGGCCAACAAGCTTAACGGGACCATTTTGACTGTCCCCTGAAAGTAAATGAGTTTACAATTATTTTGCCAGTAATTTAATGGATATATATGATATATATCGTTAATTGTACTTACTTCTTGCATTGAAATCGGGTCTTAAATGTGAGATAACATGAACTACCCTGTAACCAGAGGATTTAAAATGTTGACATCCTCTTTTGGTTAGAGTTGATTTCATCCTGATACAAAACTGCCTCTCTAAATGGTCATAATTTGCTGTGGTCATCACATTGTTTACTGAATTTGAATATGAGGTGGGACTATCGGATTCATTGGATGAGGCATTTGAAGCAACTGAAGCTGGTGGTAAAGGAGATGAACTTAAATGAGATGAAGATGAAGAGGATGAAGATGAGGTGTGAGTTAAACCCAATTGTTCAGCTAATTCAGTGTGATCCTGTTGGTGAGTATAATCAAATATACTTGATCCTGTCATTTCAACCTGATCGAGAAAAACAACAACAACAACAACAACAACAAATTATCATTAATAAGAACATGAGAAAAGTAAATCCAAATGATGAGATTAACCGATTAACACCAGAGATTATCATCATTTTAACTCACCTGACTAAGACCAAGGTAGATTGATACAGTTTCTGAAATGTACAAAAATCTCCCATCTGAACCTAATGCGAATGCGAAACCATCTAATGACTGAAGTATATGAGTTCCTTGATGAACATCAAACATATTATCTATTGAGAAGTTAATTAGCAAGGAAGAAGAAAAAGTTAATCACAATCAATTAAAGAAAATTGGTCAACAACAACAATCGAAAAGACTTACAATTAAATACTCATTGACACTCATCAATTTTATGTACAAGAAAAAAAAAATATCCATAACTAGTTGTTACTAATTAAATTATGATATAATTAAAAGGCAACAACTAATTGTTTACTGTTTTTGTTTTGGCTCGAATTTAAAAATTATCATTATCAATATAAGGATTCCCACGATAACCTCGAGTGTGTCACTATCATTAGTACAAACTATTTATGATAATAGTAACTCGATTGTTGATTGTTGACAGTAAGTTGATGTCTCAATTAGATTGTATTTTCCTATGTAAAGATAAATGATCAACATAATTGTGAACGTGTTTTCCGTTACTTATTAAATTACTATTCTCTACCTGGAGAGAGAGAGAGAGTAAAAAAAAGTTTCATTCACAATGAAATCTTGTTCCAATTGAAACTAAATCGACTTGTATTCAAATCGTTAACAATTAGTAACAATTTACATTGTAATCAAGTATTGAGAGGAAACTTTCTTTGCTAAATTATAAGATGAAGATGAAGATGAAGATGAAGATGATAATTATGATGATAGGCAATAGTATGAAACTATTACATGGTGGGTGTTGAAATGAGGATTAAGATGAATTGTCTACACCAATCAGTTGATTACCTTGTTTAACAGAAAAAAATATCTCATTAAAATCTCATTAATTTGAATAACTTATTATGTTTGACAGTTAATGATGATGATGATGATGACGATGGTAATTTACAGGTAGAAAAAAAAAGTTTCAACAAAACAAATGGTTTAGTAATTGAAACAATTCAATTGGTGATGTTGTTGTTGTAATGATTAAGGGATATGGATTAGGTGAGATTTGTTAAAAGCGGATAAGTTTTGTTTTTCTCACCTTGTGGTTAACTTAATCACGTAATTTATGAATTAACAATATAGTTTTATTTAAATGTAATTAACAAGGTGATTATCTAATTGTCACTTTGTTTTTTTTGTGTTACAATGAAACTTTACTTTTTTACATTGTTACCTATTGATTTGTATTGGAATCGTTTTCAAATTTGGACTTTTTTTATTCTAATAACAAAAAGTTGAGAGATTAATATTGTAATCTTGATGATGGATCAACGAAATGTTGTTACCTTTACTTGTCAAAATCGTTGAAATTCACTCTATATAATATTTATTCTGATAATTTATCTTTTTTCTTGCTTGTTCAGTATCACCCTGAATTCTCTCAATGTTTATCTATCTCTTTTAGTTCAGTTGAGATGAAAAATTTCCATCTACACTTGAAGAGAAAAGCACAATTACAGAAAAAAAGGAGAGAGAAAGAGAGACGAAGAAGATGAAAATGAAGATGAGGATGAATAAAGTGAGGAAAGAAAAATAGAGGAAAAGGAAAATGAAACAGAAGATGAGGAGAAGCTCAGAAAACATGATAAGAATATTCAATTGGATTGAATCAATCATCAACTGAAAAAAGTTCTTCTCTCCATCTTCCTCTCTCTCTTTCTCCTTACAGAATAAATTGGAACTTAAAAGAAAGAAGATGAGAAAGATGGATGATAAAACTATGGAAAAAAGAAAGAGATAAAGTCGGAAAATTTCCAATGCAAAATTAAACTTCCAAGCAATAGAATTTTCATTCCATTATAGGTAATCAAGATGATAATTCATGAGAGAGAGAGAGAAAATTTCATGATGATAACTAATTTAAAAGGAAAAGCGATAAAAAATTGATTCTAAATCAATTAGTAAATTGAATTGATATTATCATTACCTGCGCGTTAAATACTAATAATATATTTTATATGAAAACTTTATCATTGAATGAAAGCATATCCATTCAATATTAATCATATTTCATTTTAGATATAAATTATCACACTTATTACAATATGAAACAAAAATAATAATGGATATTAATCATGATTGTAATATATTGATAATTCAATAGTAAACTCAATCTCCGAAAACTAATAATAATGTTAATCATCTTGGGTCTATGGTGTTAATATAAAAGGTTCATGATAAAAATTAAGCTTTACCACTGAGCAGGTTGATAAAAGTATAAGATCAAATAGAGAGTTGATCATCTTTACCACCTCATCCTCCATCATCATCATCATCATCATCATCCTCATCTATGGTAACAATATTTAGGTCATCATCCGTTAATAACTTGATTATTTGTGAATTGTCAACATAAATATCCTAACCTCGTATATCAATCTTAATCAGTTTATTTAGAGACAGAAATAAAGCTTTTTAAATCCCTGCAGCTTTATCATCATCATCATCACCACAGCATCCTCATCCCTTTTCATCATCTTTATCATCATCAACCTTCACTAACTTCATGGTGATGATGAAGACAAAAAAAAAGATATAACCACAAAGACAAGAAAAATATTTACTCATATCTTGATATCATCATCATGATTATATTATAAATCTCATTGAAATGACAATAAACTGATTATTAACTTTGAAATTAGATTTAACCATAGGTTTTGCAATTGTGATTCTCCATCATCATCTTTTTCCTATTAATATCATCCCCAATATTTTCCGCATCATCTTCATCATCATCATCATCTCCACCCTGTGAATATTTGAGTAAATTGGGAATTTTTGTTTTCGATATCAAAGTGATGAAAATTATTACCATCACAATTTAGCATCTTCATCAATTAATTGGAAGTGAATGAGTATTCAATTATTGTTTTTTCTTGCTATTGAAAGCAATTAGTTGATTGTAAAAGTGATAATTAAGATATTTAAATATTTACTTACACATTTTACTAGATTTAAGTGGATTGTTGTTTTGATTAATTGGAATCGCTGCCCAATTAGGTTCACCATTATTAGCGAAATCACGTAATTTAAGGTAACTAATTGTTAACCTTATTATTGATGCTTTATCTGTTTAATTGTTGTTAATTTTGGGTATTAAATAGATGAGGAACAAAGGAAAAAAAGTTAAATAATAACGTGTTAATTATAATTAGAATTAATTGTTGTCAAATCCAGAGATTAAGGGAAGATGCCAAACACACACAAACACCCAATGATGAGCCATTTAAAATAAGTATAATAATAATTAGCTCATTAAAAATTGAGCGTAAAATTTGAAAGTTTGTCAATTAGATTAAATTGTTGAATGAATTGATTGAGTAATTATTAGAAAATATTGATAATATAAAAATCTCAAGTCTTTTAAAAGATCACAAGTTGACCTAATTTTTTTCCATAAACTATTGTGAAAGGTCAGAGAGAGAGAGAGAGAGAGAGAGAGAGAGAGAGAGGTGTGGTAAGCATTGTAATTCATTCATAAAGTTATCATGTTTGATGAGTGAATGAATAAGGTCATTGAATGTGATATCATGTCTAGAAATTATCACTTGAGGTGATTTTTGTGACCTTGAAATGTGGGCTGCAATTTAAGCACAATTCAGGGTTAGTGGAACACGAATAACGCATTTTTTTTTATACTAGACTCACACACATACACACTCACATGTAAGAGAGTGAATGAGTGAGCAAGTGAGAGAAAGAAGATGATAATGATGATGAAAAGAAACCGATAATAAGAAAGAAAAGAAAGTAAAAAATAGAAACATAGACACAAGGTACGTGATGGCTCACGGAAGCGGCCCTATCACGTATCTCAGCCATTGAGAAACTGGAAGCAAAGAGGAAGAGATTCATATGGAGGAGGAGGTTCAGACGTGATATCAGGGTAAAGTATTTTCCTAGGTGGGAGAAACGTTTGTCATAGCAATAAGGGAGAGAGAGAGAGAGGAGAAGACTCAGAAAAGTTGAATGAAAAGTTGAAATGAAAAGGAGAGAGATACTACTGAAAAAGTACATGATTTAGTAATGAAAATTTTGGTGAGCATGATGATGATCATCATCATCACCATGATACAGTCTCAGGTCTGAAAAGTTATTCAGGTAACATGATTGTATTGACAGGACAATCAGAGTAAAAAAGTTACGTGTTATCGATCTGAACGTGATCATTAGTTTCTATCACCTTCGACTATTTTTTTTTTACTCACTCATTATCATCCTAGACTTTAAGCTCATCATCATGTTAACCATAACCAACAGACAGACACTCAAACAAAACACTCATTGAATATCGATGAACAACTGAAACATGAAAAAGTTCCAATCATGTTCATGGAAACTCAAAGATATTCTCATGAATTCTTGAGGGTAGAAACAAAAAATTTTCTCTCCACAGAAAAATCAACTCGACCATTGATCTTAATCTCTCTCTTTTGGTTACAATTAATTGGTTAATCCGGAACAAAGTAAAAAGAGATTAACAAAATGTATCAACGAAACGATAATCTTAATGTTTTTCTCGTTCCATTGTTTTTGCTTTTCAATGATTCTAATTAAATGTAAATCCTGTTGAAGTTTGTTAATTGTTAACAAATAAAAAACTTTGCTACGATAATAATAATGATAATCATTCATGTCCAGAAAACAAAGTTATCTAATTGCTGGATAAGATTAATCTTTTCCTATTATCATGATAATATCCATGATAATCATCCTCATCTTTTGTCATCCTTTTTTATTATCATCATAACAATTATTGTAACTCTTTCAGTTTCAACTCTCCAATTATAAATGATAATTTAAAAAGATACTCAATCTTTATCATTATGATGTAGCCTTAAGCAATTTTATGATGATCGTTAATTGTGTTAATAAAATGACTTTGTTAACCTCATTTAACCATTGATTAACCTTTTTTGTTTTGTTCATTCTTTTCATAAAAACATCTCTTCCGTTTCCGTTTTCATTGGACGAAAGGGAAAGAGACAAATTCAAAGTCTATTTAAGTTACATTTCCGTTTCCTGATTAACTGATTTACACATCAACAGCATAACAATTTTCATGTAAATTTACATAACAAACACAGGGAAATACAGACACAATCAACTGCAATTAAATTAAAAATCAACTTGTCACCCTAATTGTAACTTAACTGATGATATAAAACCATGTCCAATATTGACAAGTAATTAAATGTTAACAATATCAATTAGTTAATTGTATTGATTGTTATTAGAATACCTGATTAATAGAAATGATAACTTTTCCTCACATCGACAAATCTAATGTAAAATCTATGTGACACCAAAATTGTTTCAGTTGAAGTTTCTTTCCAATGTCAAACCCAATTGAAATTGTGATTGATTGTTGCATAAATTGTAACAATTAACTCAACAACCGAAAGAAACAAAACCCAATTTATGCAAAGGAAAGAGACTCAGATAACATTGAAAAGCTAATTCCAAATTGTAAGCAATTGGAAAGGTAAAAAAAAATAGACAAGAACATTTATTTTACTCGATATAGAAAAAAAAACAGAATCGAGAAGAGAACATACAAAAGTAATATCTTGATATAGAAGCAAAGAAAAGCAAAACAATAACCTAACATCATCTTCATCCTCATCACCAACAAGATGATGATGATGATGATATTGTCTAAAAAAAGGAGATGCTATTATCTTATAGGCTTGGCAATTGCAATTGTTGCAGTTTGTTGATTTACCTTTGCAACGGTTATGATGTTGCTTTTAGTTGGAATTAAATTTTAACAATTTATGAGAATCACCCTGAAAGAGACCAAGAAAAAACCGCAACATTTGAGTCAAAATGCTGACCATTTATGTTTATCATTATCATTTTGGTGTAATTTCAGTTTTCACATTTTTCTCAGCTCATGTTTGCATTTACTTGTAGCATTTACATTCATCATACAACACAACAAGAATCCAGAAAACAACAACAATAATAACAACAACCACTTTCACTTATTATCATCAAGATAATATCAAGTTGATCAAAATTTCATGATACAAACAAAACATTTATGATTATGCAGATATATAAAATAATATTGGATAACAATAGTACTAAAAAACTGTAAGTGTTTTTTTTTATGAATTAAAAACACTAATTCACACAATAGAGACACACGACTGTACACATTAATGGTGTGTAGAGGTGGAAGTTGTTGTGGAGTCATGATTAAAGGGGAAAGTCCAGTAAATCAAAGTAAATCAAATAAAAATGGTTACAAATAATTTGGAGCAATTTTTGGGTAAAAATGTGATCACTTTGTGATTTTTTCCTCTCTCATAACATTGTATTCATATATTATTCAATAGAAATGATTATTATCATAACCGATATCATCAAATATACATGATAATGGTTTATGCATATTACAGGGTTCGTATTGAATTTCATTCTAACTCTCTTAATATTATATATTATATACTTTCTGTGATTCTGATAATTCAAAGAACCATGATTATCATTCAATTGGGATGAAGATGGAAAACTCAATGATAATGAATATTATTTTGTTTCATCTCTTTCAATCCAAATTTCTGGTTACATTTTCCTATGGAAATGTTTTCCTTTCCTATTATATTATCAATGATTCAATCAATTGAAAGCTAATCATATATAATCAAAGGCAGGAAAAGGATAAATATCCTTTTTGCCTTCAGGCTAGATAATCATTATCATCATCTATTTTTCAATTGCATTGCCTATGGTTATTATGAGTTAATATAATTTCAATTGGCCTTTCAATGAAAATACAATGAAAATACATTATATCAAATGAAAAGTCAAAGGTTTTCAGGTCACTTGAAATAATAATAATAATGTTGATAATCATTTGATTGCTCAGCTATTTCTTAATCACCATTTATAATCACGACAATTGTGACATAATTATATATCCTACTTGTTATCAATAGGAATACATATGAAGTTAATGCATATAAATTGTTTGAGAATAAAAAAAAATCAAATGGATTAAGTATAAAAGATTAATCCAAACGTTAATCTCAATGAGCTAAAGTTAATATTGAAACGGAAACAGATTCACTTATCATTGATACACTGATGGTGATGATGATAATGATAATATTGATGGTTGCAGATTAGATTAACCATCTGATAATGTTAATCATGTTATTAATTCTGGCAATTATAACGCCAAGTAAAAAGTTTAATCATCATTGATAATCAATAATACTAAAAAAGATGGATTAATTAACCAATGGAAAGAAAAATATTGATAGAAACAACTTCGAAACTATTAACAAAGTTATTCGTACATTAGTTGAAATAATTAACTTAATGAAATTGATGATCGATTGATAAAAAAAATGGAACGTTAATTTTTCTGTTAAATTAATTGCTGGTTATCAATGATCAGCTGGACACAATTAGCTGGACAATGATGGTGATCATTGTCCATCAAGGGAAAACCAGAAGCAACAATTAAAAGGCATCTGTTTTTCTGGTTAAATTGCAACAATTTGATTATAACAATTGCATATCATGTTAGTTAATCAGTTAATCATTTCATTTAATTAACTATTAAATTAAGCTTCAATTGATGATGATGGACAAAAAAAAGACTTTCATTTGCAACCGTTGATTAATTGTTATGATAATAAACAATTAGACAATCTAATTGTCATCTTAATGTCTAATCTACCTTTACAATTAAAAAAAAGGAGCCAGCAGTTAAACAACCTAATCAGTTTAATTGTTAAGATACATTGAAGTGATTAAAAAATCGCTAAAAGAAAACAATTAACTTTCAATGAATATTAATTGTTGTTGTTTCTGTTAAATTGTCATCAGGTTGCATGTTCAATGATGATGTTAATTGTGATAATCTGTAAAGATTAACAGTCTCTCTCTCTCTCTCTCTCTGATTGTTGTATGTTACTGTTTAAATTGTTGTAAATAATATTGAGACAATAATGTAATTAATTTAATTAACTAAGCTAAACTTTATGAGATTAAAATTAATGATAAATTGTCTGACCTGGAAACTTATACACTTGATTTACTTTTCAAACTAAATCAAGATTATAAGTAAATTTAAAAGTTAATTAAATGATCTCGATGATTACAATCATCTGATTCTAAATGGTGATTAATTTAAATTGTAATTGAGAAAAAAAATTAACAAAACAAACAGTTATATCAATCAAAGGGATATGAAAGTTAAATCTTTCATCAACTTAATCCTGATTCTAGTTAATGATGGTTTTGTTTTGTTTAATTATAATCTGATAACATTTGATAACCATTTTTAATCAGTTAATCAGCTGAGAGATGATTCTGATTATCAAGTTAAAAGCAATTGAAAAAAACAAAAACAAAAACAACGACAACAAACAAAACTAATAAATCGCTTAATAGCCTAAAGGGTTAATATTCAAGGTAAAATTGATCATCACAACATTGAGAGATTAAATTAATCAATCAAATTGTGATTTATAATTGAATTGGGATGAAATTGTTTAATTAATCAAATGGTTATTACCTTGAACAAGCAAATAATTTCATAATCATGTAATAATAAGTATTATTATCAATCCTTTAATCCGATCAATTGATTGGTCAGCATTTAATTTTTAAATGAAAAAAAAATTAAATCTCGTTCTGAGACACACATGAGAGATTTGGATTAGCAAAATCTTCAAGGATTAAGAAGTGAACAAAAAAAAACTTTCAAGACTCAAATTGTTTCAATAGTTTTAAATGATAATACATGTAATAATAATGATGATATTGTTCACATTGGGTCAATATCAATCAATTGTAAATGTAAATCAAAAAGTGTTACAATACTTAATCTCATGTAATAAATTATCATTTACCACTTTTACCACTTAATAACATGATCATCATCAGGAGTAACTGAAAATGTGATTACATCAATGATGGATAAACATAAAGGATTAGGATTTAATGTTGTTCATCATATCAAGCAAAAGGATCACACAAATCATGATAATCATAATCATAATCATAATAATATTGTTAATATCATCATCATCAGCATAATATATAAATAAATGTCTAGGGAAGGGCTTAGAATTGGGTGGGTTGATCACCCATTATAATAGCAATTCAAAAATATGTAATAATATGATAAACATTGAGCATTATTTATGATATTACTATCATATTAATGTTAAGTATAAAATAATAGTATATGCAAATGTCAATGTCAACACTTTCGCTAAATCATTTGGCAATTAGATGAGTGCCAATGACCAGAGAGTATGAATTGACCATAGGTGAGATATTGGCTGATTGTTTTTCTGATTTCTTTTGCTCTATTGGAAATGAAATGTCGATAAACTTTTGGCTTCTAATGGAAACGATAATATTATTATCACCTATTGATATGCTGCAGTGAATTTCAAAGTGTATCAACCTTGAGATAAACTTGATAGTATAAAGATTAGAATCCAAATATTAATAATACTTTGGAAACTTTGAATCTCTTTGCAATTGAGATTATCAAGTTTCTTATTGATATTATTATAATATTTGGAAAAGGGTTGAAACATTTTTTTCTGCTTTGCTTTGTAATTGTTATTAGTGTAAGAATATTGAATCATTGATTACTCATTTTCTTTTTGTGTCTTCTCATTAATTATATATTGAATTGAATGAGAATTGCATCTTCCCTTTGTATCTCCATAACCATTGGGTACTAACTCATGATACCTAATTGAGAGGTGATGGCAGCCGGAAGTGGAAGTAACTTTGCCAATTCGTAAAATTCGTGGTTCTCTTTACCTCTTCTCGAACGAGCGGCATCTCGACTTTTTTCCTTACGCATTTCCAATATTCTGTTATATAAAATGAAATTAGAAAATTAGACAAAGTAAATTAGATAAAAGCAAAAAGCAATCAAAACAATCATTCATTGCATTGGTAATTGGTTGATTTTTATTGAACAACAATTTAATTGTTTGTAATTTGAATTGAACTTTTTTCATAAACAAATTACAGGTTAAGAGTTTTCTTTGCATATTATTGTTGATTGTTTCTTGTTAATTGTATGAGGAAAAACAGTTAAAGTCAAAGGTTTTAAATGAAATATGATTTTAATGAAAGGTTTTAATATGAAATTAAGGTAATAACCAATTACTGAGATGATTCTGGGATCATTGAAGAGAGAGAGATAATTATGAGTTTATCATGAATCCTTATGATTTTTTTACGATTTTTTCTGGAAAAGTTTGTTTTTTTGCTCTCAAGAGAAACTGGAAAATTATGTTAATTGTAATCGTATATGAAAGTATAATGATAATAGTTCTGGTGATGAGGATGAGGATGATAAGTGGTGATAAGGTTGAGAATCAGGAAGATGATGTTGATTATGATAAAAGATTGGATATGAAAATATAAAGAAAACTATATGAAAATGATATTAAAGATTCAAATGAAAATATTTGTTTATGTTTGTTGTTGTTGTTGTTGCTTCTTATTATTATCCATCTTCAGGATGATGACTTTGGTTAGGGTGATGAAGAAGATGATGATAAATATTACAATGTACAAGGAAAGATGGAGAGGAAAAGAAAGTAGAATTAGTTTCCATGGAGATGGAAAAGTTCATTTCCATTCTACTCAGTGTTCTGATAAAAACCTACGCTTCAAATCTTCAGCTTCCAACAACTTTCACTTCGTGACTTGAATTTCATGGGGATGATAATGAGTGATCATCAAGAGATAGAAAGAAGAATAGAAAGAGACTGAGATGATCTCTTTTCTGGTCTTCTCCCTTTTCCCAGAATTCTCAGTAATCATCTTCGTTTTCTTTTTTCACCTTGTCTTATTTTCTTTCATTTTCTATCTCCATCAACTAATATTATTTCATCTTGGAAAGAATAATATTATTGGTATAATTCTGCTAAAAAAAGTAAGAAAAAGAACAAGAAAAAAATCTAATAGAATGAGAAAATGTGAACACCAAAATCTCGAGCTTTAGAGTTAGAACTTTTTTTTTTCTCTCTTATTCTTCAAGTCAAGAACGATATCATTTGTATATATGTGAACACTTTCGTCTCTCTCTCACTTTCTTGTTGATCATCAATTCTAATTCATTAGGGATTGATTAGAATTGATTTTGATTCACTAACCTTACACTTCATATTTAAGTGTTAATGGTTTTTCATCTGTTGGTCAGTAATCAGTTAATTGAAGTGAGTTTGAGAGTGAAATGAGGTCAATCGTAAAATTAACAATCAAATTGTTTACTCTTAAATGGTCAGTAACAATAATAGAGAGAAAGAGAGAGAGAGAGAGAGATTGATAAATAATTCTAATATATTGCAATAAAATGCATGGAAAACAATAATGATAGGAATAGGTAATAATTTTTTCTTCAGGGATTTAGCTTTATAATGAACTGGACACTGGTCAATAGCAGTTGGATTGGTAGAGAGAAAGTCCAACCTTTTATTCACACATAATGAAAGAGACACGCAGAGAGAGAGAGAGAGAGAGAGAGAGAGAGAGAGAGAGATGATAATGACCAGTGTCCAGTGAGTTTAAAAGATAATAATAATATAATTTTATTATTTAGATGGTCACGTGAGGTCAATAGTTCCGGTTATATATTTAAAGGCAAATGTCCAGTCAACCAGTCAATTTAGTTAAAGGGTAATAGTTAGCAATGTTTATCATCACCATTGATTAACTGTTAATAATCATGATAATTTACTGAGATTTAATTCTCAATTGATGATGGTGATAATAGAAATCAAAAGTATTGTCCTTTAACTGTCCATTAAACTGGACAATAATGTTATTATGATAATGATCAATATATTAACATATGAAGATTATTATTATTTTATCTTAAACAGCAAAACAAAAACAATCAAATCAACTCTTTTTTTTTGTCCAAGTAAATGTTAAGAAAAAATCAAGTTGATGACCCTCTCAGAATCTTATCAGACTAATATACATTTATATGTATAACCTATAAGCTCAAACTGACCATTAAATGATAGTGGACATTTGTATCTGACCAGAGGTCAGATAAGGTAGACAATTTATTGACACTTTATGTTTATTTGCACGCATCTACGAGTATCATCATCATCATTTAAAGGACCATTATCATTATCATAGTTTATCAAATAAAACAATTGCCTCTTAAATCAATGATGAGGATGATTAGGATGATTAGGATGAGGATGATAATGGGGATAGAGATGAAAATCTGTTAATCTATGTAATCATAACAATAATCATTGACTAAACAATTTTGATTATCTGTAACTTTTATTGATAAAATACAATCAAAGTGAGTCGCTTATTATGTTATCATGATCAATATTAACTCCATATAAATGGTGACACAACTTTAGCATCCTCATCATTATCCAGATAAAACTACATCATCATCATCAATTGATCAACAATTGAGTCTACAAGTTAATCAACATTTACATGTACTAATATCAACTTGAAATAATCAAACTTTTCTTTCATTATTATCATTGAACTTTAATCAAATGGTTTAATTGAGCTTTGATATTTGACAATTAAAACATTTTTTCCTTCACTTATTGTCAAAAATTAAGATTAACCTCTCTCTCTCTCTCTATCTACATCATATGATTTTAATGGTAAACAATTAAACCTTATTGTCTAAATTAACCAGGTAAATGGAAGGTGAAGTGCAAAGTTTCAAAAGATAAGTGATCCATGATCCTTATTATCAGTACTTATATACAGAGGATGAGGAAGACAAGGATGACGATTATGATGATGATGATGATGATGATGATAAAGTAAAATAGTCAATTTAAATTGCTGTAGAAACAATTTGACACTTGAAAACTTGCAACTCATTACTTGTATACATAGTAAAAGACAATTAGATAGCGTGAGAGTTAATAATAATGTTTGAATAATAATAATAATCAACATGAAACTAATCAGTGTGTGTTAGTTAATAAACCAAAAGGAGATCAAGTCAAGTATTAAAATGATTAGATTGGGTAAAAAAACACATCAATTGATGATAGTAATTAGTTTAAGTTTAGTTAACCTGTGGCGAGGAGGCTTTGCAGTAATTATTATTGATACAAATATACAACAGTAAGAATACAAAAAAATCAACAAAGTTTATCCGAAACATTTATTAGTAAGTAGATGTAATTAAATGATGCAAATCTAATGAGTGAACATGAGAGATGATGAGGGAAAAGAGCAGAGAGAGAGAGAGAGAGAGAGAGTATCAAACATTAACAATCAGTAAATTGGGATAGTTAAAAAAACGAAATTGAAACTCTACAATTTAAATGCTCATTTAGATTGTCATTTAAGGGATAAGATAATTTGTTGACTCTTCTTATTGATACGAAAAGTTTTTCTTCAGTTTTCGAGAAACTTTGGTGAAACTTTGTTTCTTTTTTCTCTCTTTGGGAATTCATGATGAAAATGGTGATTGTGATTATCTTTATCAACCGAAATAAATCAGGCCAGATTATGGATTTAAAATTAAATCTTGAAAATCCTGTTATCTTTTTATTATTCTTGTATAATAATCATGATATCAGAATGTTGGAAACTTGGAGTGAAAGGAAAAGATTGAATTATCAGTATATTTGGTTGAGTGTATTGAAATAGTAATAATAATAATGATGACCATCATCATCATCATCATCATCACCATGGTCATCATTCAGAATCTTATTGATCAGAAATAAGTAAACATAGGGAGAGAGATTCAAGAAGTGTAAATGAATATTATGATTGTGAGGGTGATGATGATAAAGTTGATGTTGTTATTATTGTTACTGTGACACTATTGGAAATGGTGATGATGAGGAAGAGGATAATGATCAAGACCCAATACAGAGTGTAAGAGGATAAAGAAGCTAAATATGACACAAATCCTCTGGGCTTTTCTGACCAGTCCAAGGTGATTAAAGTAAAGAAAATAAAGTAAAAAATATTAACCGTAACTAGAATTGGAGTTGATGATGAGATCATATAAAAAAAGAGAAAGAGGGAAACGGACTTTTCGAGTTAGGACCTTTATTGTTCCAAGTCCCTAGTGGACAAAGGCTATTTCAATTGGAGAGAGAGAGAGAAAGGAATGAAATGAAGACGAAAAGCAAAGAAATGGAAATGGTAAAAAAAGTAGTATTCTTACAGAACAGTAATGATATTAGTTGATAGAGAGAGAATGTGAAAAAAAGGTGATAGAATAGGAATGAAAAGAGATTTGATTCAGTAAAAGGAAAGGAAAAAAAAGATGAGGATGAAGAAAATAGAAAGAGAAAGAGAGAGAGAGAGAGAGAGAGAGAGAGAGATGATTGTCAAAATTGAGGTATAGTGTTGATGAGTTGAGAGGAGGAGTATTGATGAGGATACAACGATGGGGATGCGCTGTAACATGATAAAAATAATAAAGTTATGAAATATTATCATTTATGATTATACGGAAATAAGATATTACTTATATTCAAAGGAATTGCGATCAAAAAAATCTACATCAATTTGTTGTTTTTGTTTCTGTTACAGTGTTTTTCTTGTTATTGGGATGGTTGTTGGTGATAATGATGCTGATGACCATAACCAAAAGGAGCAAAATCTTGGTTGGAAATGCCCTCAGGGAATATTAAGGTCGACACTGTTTCTCTCTCTCTCTCTTAGTAAATTATTATTATCACCAATGGTCGACCATTTATCTTACGTATATTTGGCCCTAGCCTCAAGCTCATCTTTAATTTTTTCTGCTTCTTTATCGTTTTGGTGATTCCATCCCAAACCTTATATGAAATAATGATAGTTGATTTTTTTTGCTCTTGTCTATGGCTACTAC